AACAACATCTGTTTAGATCACATTTTCCAAACCTGAGCAATGTTACTTAAACAGTGCAGTATCTTTGCAAGAATTTATCCAGAATCATACAGAAACCATTAATCTGTGTAAGAATTATACCAAATCATACCAATCAACCATTTTTTACAAGTTAATTGAGGTTGTATAATTGAGTTGTATAATTGAGGTTTACAAGTTAATTGAGCTTACGTTTCGTTTTCCAATCCAAAGAAAAGTGTAAAATGCATGTCACAACCTATAAATTTCTGTATTACAATTTCATAATAATAGTATAATGCAATCTGTATCATTACAACAAATCAGTAGATACAGCAATAAAAAAATCAGAAGCCTTGCTGTCTTCTGATTTTGTTTACGTATTGGTTGCTTTTACGACGAAATCTTCAGCTCTTTTGCTGCTCCGTACTTGCTGAACGCTTTGCCTTTCAACATTAAAACAATACACTGCTCTGGTTAACAGTGTCTACATAAATCGATTTTGTTATCTCTTTGTCTCTGGTTTTTCACAACGGAGAAGATCATAATGGAACGGAGAAGATTCATAAACTTATTCATGGTGGAAGAATTATTTTTTAAATTTCAGTAAAATTTAGAAAATAATTGATAAATAGATAATGTATAAAATAGTCTAATGCAGTGTTTTACAAACTATGATCTGCGATTCACAAGGGGTCCTCGAAATTTGCCCTTGTGCTCCTAAGTTTCCAAAAAAGACCAAAAATAAAATTTTAATTAATTTTATTTACTACACTACATTTGAAAATCTCAGAGTCTGGAAATTATATATCAAGCACTTTCATCTTGGCAACTGTCTATCACGGCAAGAGTCTATCACTTTTTCTCCCAAGGCAGACATTTTATGAAATTTATTACCGATTATCCTACCTATGGACTTCCCACTGTAGTCTTGACCAGTGGTCGTCAACTCTTAGAACTTCACGGACCGCTACATATATAATTTTATATTTGGCGGACCACTAACATGAATTAAAAAAAAGGGATAAAACCTTAAATCAGACTTTAAAAACAGCGTATTAATACACAAAAAGAAAATTCAACTTTCCAATACATGTAATTCTAATTTTCATTTAATAGTATAATTTTCGAAACATTTGGTGTCAGCAGCATGCCTTTATGGAAATTCAGGCTACGCCCCTAATTAAGAGTAACAATTAAAACATAAATTCACTGATACATAAATTCGTTCACATTGAAAAATTATATCAAAAGTACAAAAATCTTACCACTGGTTTCTTGTACAGAAAGCTTCACATTTCCATATCACTGAAAAGGAACTTCACGAAAAGCAAGAACAAACCGGCAAACGCAAAGTAATGACAAAAACCTGAAAGTGTTATGTCGCCAAATTTTAATTATTGTAAACATAATAATCATCGCTTACTCATCAATGGCGCCATCGATCAACAGTTAGGCAAAACACAACGGAAACTTCCAGTGATGCAATTATAAACAAGAATGCAGATGGTTCTCATAAAAATCCATTAAGTTGCCTATAGACATGGAGAAAAACTGTGTTATTAACGACTGCAATAGTATATGTTTGTAACTCAAAAGGAAAGAGAATTCCAGTTCGCGCTATTATTGATAACAGCAGCATATCCATGGATGCCAACTCTCACTTTCAAATGTCGCTAGATACACCAGCAAAAGTAGTTAAAATGTCGCTGAATTCAGAAGGAATTTTGCTAAAAGTAGTATCTAAAATTTAAAAAACGTGTAATCGATATTCCATAATAGGTTTTGTTAATCGTCATTTTTCAAACTGAATCTTCATAAAAGTATAAAAAATGTCCCAATTTTTCTGCGGAATATCAAAACGTTTTCACGGACCACCGGTTGGCGACTTCTGGTCTTCTGAACAAAGAGGGATTTAAAGCAGTATGATTGTGATGGTTCTGTGCACATTTGGCGCTGATCGGCCAATTACCAAAAAAAGCAGAATTTAGTGTATTGTATAATGGTACTTTAAAAACTGCAATTCAGTTTTATTCTACGTAACTGTGTGAGAAAAGGTTTTCATCGCTAACTCAAATAAAACCAGAAGTACTGAAATCGACTTGGTATGTAAAGATATCAGATTCAGACTTACCAGCATACATTCAAACATATAACATCTATACAAGAACTGGCAGGTTCATTCATCTCATTAATATGAGAACCAACATTCACTTAATTTTTAGTTCATGAAGTAAAGATTATCCAAACTCTAATACCCTCGAATTATTAAGAAAGATTGCGGATTTTTTCTGTTAATTTAATATCGGTATGAAATTCAATGAATCTTAATTAACTATATTTTAAATGTATAAATGTACTTCAATTAATGTAAAAATTTCTTTCGAAAGGGATAAGAATTAGGCAGTTCTCAGAGCATTCTAATTTATAAAAGTATCCTCACTTAAAAAAGTTCTGAGAAATAGTAGAGAAATTCTATGATGATTTTAAAGTCAAGATGACCTGTTAGATTTTAAATTCATTTTTAAATATTTAAAATTAGCAGTACAGGAAGAATTGGATGAATATCAACGAAAGAAAAATTTTAATTAATATTATAAAAAAAATCAAGAATTCTGACTCTAAAAGAAAATAAAGTAAGTATTATACAGCAGTATAAGCACTGTATTGCATGTTCCTTCCTCATCCAATTGAGTTAAACGTAGAATTATTTGCATCCGTTGCAAAAAAAAATGTATACATACAGAATAAATTGAGCCACGACTACGAAACCCGGAATGCAAATGTAATTTAGCAAATTGTGTAAATGATTAAACTTGCAGCACCAAACAGCATTGTGGAGCGATGGAACGTGCGTCTGAAGTGCGCAGCTGGTAGAATGTAAAAGGACAGGTGCAGCGAGTGGCAAGCATTTACAAACGCGCTGATGGCTAAGATACACGACATTATAAAGTAAGATGCCTTTAAGACGTGCTCAGTGGCATTACGAACAGTTCTCAGACATTGAGAGGGGGCGAATCTTAAAGCTAAAAGTGGCCGGTTGGATGTACAGGCGATTCGGCTGGCATATTGGTCGAAACGATATGGTAGTTGTTTGTTGTTGGAACCAGTGGCTCAGAGAAGGCATAGTCAGCCGCTGTAGTGGCTCGAGACGTCACCGGGCCACCTACGAGCTAGTTAATTCCCCGTTAGAAAAGCTGCCACATCCACTAAAAGAGTTACGCTATCATCGATTCCACGCATTCGCCAATTCGCAGAGATATAGGAATGTATCCCTATATCCCTGCGAATATATCCTGCAGGGATATAGGAATGTATGATCTACGAAATATTTCTATATCCCTGCGAATTGGCAAATACGTTAATGATATACGATTTGCCGAAGACTTGGTGACGCTGGGCTCATATCTTGAGGTCGATTAAGACGTTTGCCGTTGGCACTCCGGAAGTAATCAGTTTATTATACTAATGTGCAGAAACAACTTTGAAAACTTAGTTTGAAAAATCTTAAGAAACTTTTGGAGAAGGATTAATAATCACAGCTTTTTTTTATATTTGGTAAAAGACTGAAATTAAGAAAGGCGAACAAGAAAAGCCAAAACAAATATATATGTAAATTTTTGCTTATCATTAAAAAAGTGTTTTATATCTCATATTTAAAACTGAAATATTATTTATTTTTTCACACAGTATTCTAGGACAAAACCACGAGTCACACATCAAAATATACACCACATTTCTAGAAAAAAAATGGTAAGAGAGACTGATGTAAAGTGCTTACTTTAAGATAGCTTAGGTTATTTCTACACGTCAAAACCACGTGGGCTAACCGCCTGAGAAGAGGAATGCCTTCGGGGAGAAATTTCTGAGGGAAATTGGCTCTTATTTACGTTACACATGAGGAAACAACCAACTGGTTTGGCTGTAGTGTTTATTCTCTTTAAATATTGCAGAGAAGTCTCTTGTTGTAGCACCGATGGGTTACTGTGCTTTCAAATTGTTTAAAAAATACTTTCTACATATCAAATACAAATGACTGATATTACCAATCGGTGGTAAGGATAAAGGTCTAGCAAGTAGTTTACTTTAAAAATAATAATATTTGTACTACATTTGCTGAATCACATTGTTCATAAAATGTGCCAACATTTTTGCACTTCGAAATAGTTCTCTTTCAGAACATAAATTCTAATATCTTAGACAAAGATTTCTGTGATACAAATTATAGAAATCTATGTTGAATTACGTAGGATAGGAAAAATTCAAATAATGGAAATTCAAGATGATTTAAATTATTTTTATTTCATTATGTGCTTATTATATTATTGAGCTTATTTTACTCAATTTCTTGTTTTATGTGAATGATTGATTGAAGATTTGCATAGAGTTGTTAGAAGGGCGACGTAATACTGATTAAGATCTAGCTTGATATTCTGCTGTCTATGCTAACTTCTGTCTGTTTATGGTTTATGGCGAGTTTACGTAATTATAACTAATTGCCTGATATTTTTGTAAACACGAATCCATTTTCTACTGAAGTGTTTCTGTAACAGTTAAATCTAATTTAAATCGTTATGTAAAGTTAACTTAGGCATTTGTAATTTACGTCTGTCACATTATTTCATTTCTTACAAGAGCAAATGAAGAGATTAATGTTGTGTAACTTCCGATGTTTTTCATTTATAATTTTTATTATATATTGCTACCGAATTATATATTTTTATTTTATAGATTTTACAAGAGCGGAATTTAATATTATGTTTTTTCTTACCTTTGTTATGATACATTTTAAATATTATAGTGTAATTCGTTAGTTTCGTTTTAGCTCTAAGAAGAACGAAACTTTTTCTCGCATAAATTTATGGTAATTTCTCTTTCCCTTGCAAAAGATTTCAGAAGAATGCTTGCCTTTTATAAATTTGCGAAAACCTGTATCACCGTAAAATTTCCGAATATGCGTATTATATGAGGATTTATAATAATTATTGAATTTTCTTTTGCAGCTCCAATTGCTCCGCATAAGGATTCATTTATTGTGGCCAATTCTACATCACTCACAGTGAACCTGAGAACATGGGAAGATGGTGGATGTGGCATTAAATCATTTGTGGTGCGTTATAAGCGGCTCCATACTACAGATTGGAGGATGGCAGCCAGTTCCAGCAGTCAACAGCAAGAAAAAGTCATCATCAGGGACCTCAGTCCAGGTACATGGTACAGCATTCGTGTGACCGCTCACAATGTAGCTGGATCTACAGTAGCAGAATACGAAATAGCTACCCTTACTCTAGATGGAGGTAATAGCTTGCATCTTTTCAAACCTTTCTTTTCAAACTCTTGGACTTTGTTTATTATAATGTCATTTAATAAGCATTAAAGAAAGTGCATTATGAAGCGCAAATATTATAATTTTTTATGGCTAATAAATATAATTATAACCGTTGAGTTCTTATCAAATCTTGTCAAATAAAAAATTCTTGACCCCAGAAATCGTAACTATGTGAACCATGACTAAAATTTATGAATCTTGATTCACACACGACAGTAAAACATATATTTAAAGACGAGCAGTTGTTATTCCTGTCATTACAGGCCAGCATTTCTTTCACACTGATCGAAATATAATCAAATATCTCTGCGTATTAAGCCATCTATGCATAAAATTCTCTACAGCTACTATTAAGCATTAAATGTTAAAGTGAATACTTTTTCTAGCTGGAAGCATGAAACTTCATTTTGGCGAATGATTCTCAAAATTTAAAAACTTGAATATTAAACACAAAGCATTATTTGCTTGAGTATACCTCACAGTCTGATCAATGGATATATAAAATCATATGGATGACTCAATGATTTGATTAGTGACTCTACTGATTTTATTTTATCATTTCGCTAGGCTCTATAAATAGTTTTTACCCTTAAGAATAAGAAGAAATGCAATAATTAATAGAAGACGATTTCATTAAAACTCAGTGTTAGAAAACGAGATGGTTATATCTGTCGAGATTCTTCAAGTTCCTTTTCTAATCAAAACTTTAAAAGTAACTTTAATTAATCATTCAAGTGTTTTATTTGCCTAATGCTACTCTTGCTCCTCCTCCTCCTTTTATAATTCTTCCTGACTTTGTGAAAGAAAAGTGCTTTTATTTTAGTGCGAAAAGATTTATTCAACTCTGCTTTCTGTCATTCTCATTAATTTAGCCAGATTCGAAATAAACCTATTAACATAACAATATATCCGTAAATGGTTTATTTTAAATTTTTATTATTTCTTTTGCATAAGATAATTTAGTTTTTCGTTTCTTAATTTAGTTGTATTTGCCATCTAGTTTAAGTGCATTTCCTGTCAGTTTTATTTCAGTATCCAGAAAAGAAGACGACTGATTTATTTCTGGCTATCGTAATTTAATTATTTTGAGCTTCTAAAATGTATTATATATAAAACTGTGTTTTAAAGAATAAGTAAAGATCTCTGATTATGTAAATACATTTCATAGCATTTTTCATGCATATCAAATAAAGATTTCTGCAGATGCGAATTTATATTTTTTTTAAATCTTAAAAAGTTAATTTTTATGTAATTCATAATTGTCATTTTTAAGTAAACATTTCATTATAATCTTTCACATGCAAATAAGAATTAGAACAAATTATTTACCTTTAGCTTACTAAACAAACTTACAGAAGCGTCGAGTTGAGTCTGGTTTGTTGTAGTATACAAGAGTTAAGCAATGAAAGTTTGATCTGAAGTATAATACTTTATGAATATATAAGCCTTCTTTTAAAAACCGTTATTGCAGCAGAATTTCTTTCAAATGCCCGATATGTTTTGTCCAAACAGTAAACGTATTTTTTGAAATTTTTAAGTGCAAAACAATGGATGTTTTACTTTATGTTCTTGCAAAAGGAAATTGTTTTCCAACATTTTGCTCTGCAATAACCCCCATAAGCCAATAGTGCATAGATTTTTACTTTCTTTGATGACATAAACTAACATCGAACTCCTAACAGACATGGAGCAAATTATCGCTGTGTCTGAATTTAACAACAGACTTTAGAATGTTAAATTTTTTTTAATTCAATCAGAATGGGAACATAAAATGCTTACAAAATAAGCCACCACTTGTTGCGATGCAATTTAAAGTATCAATCAAATTCAAGAGAACTGAGAGCTTCTCACCGACGTTAAGAGTTAAATGTCGGCAGCAATAATGAAACGCCATAAATCAGAAACTCTGATTCTCTCTGAGTCTGTAAGTAACTTCGGGGTTTAAATACCGCTCCTCCTCATTAAATATTCAGCAAGATTCCAAACCTACGTTCTGGCCGGAAGTAGTAAGTTGAAGTTAAGAATTTGACAGGAAAGGAACTTTAACTTAAAATTTAACTGTTAATAAAATTAGCATAATCCTTACAACCAGAAAGACGAATGCTGAGAATCTTCCTTTTTCTAATTCTTATTCTCCATTTACGAACTATAATTACTAATGTTCAAAGTCATCCTATCTTATACTGTTGAAATTTAAACTTCACGTTCGTCTGCTGCTTATAAAGTTAGAAATCATTCAGAGTTTCTAAGCAATAAATGCACTCACTGGCTTCAAATTTGGAATGTTATACTCATCAAAATTTTAAATTCCATTATCCATCCCCTGTATGTTTCTTAAATAAATATTTTAATAATTGTAAAAAATAACTCACTACTATCTACGCATTTTATTTTAAGTAAGCATTCAAGGTATTTAAGCAGTCCTTTTATCTATATGTTAAATTTATTATTTTTTCAAATTAAAATTAAATGTACTTCATTCGATTCCAAATCCCTGGCTAACACTGAAAATAAAAATAGCCAGTGAGGGGGTAGTCACTGAACTTTATAATGTTGATGTCACGTCGTTTCTTCTTCTTCTCCGAAAATTCATTCAATAGCTTCAGTGGCCACAAGATAATATACACCCAAGAACATTAAGAATAGCGCACCAAGGAGGAAACATTGTAATGAAATGAAATTGAATGCTTATAATGATACATATGAGTGATTAATTTAATCGCAAAATCAAGACAATTAAACGACTGCAGTGTGTACAATTATCCAAATGCAGTGCACTTTCAATAGGGCATCGGACCGCCTCCTTCTGCAATACATGTCACAACATGGTCCGGCATTGAGTTGATGAGATGTCTGATATAGTCCTAAGACAGATAAGCGAACAAATCTTTAACAGCCACCTTCAAATTATGTACAAAGTGACACGGTGGTACCTGGCGTTTCAGCAGCTGCCACACATACTCTATAGGTAATAGGTCGGGGGAACGGTCCGATCATGGAAGAGCCTGAACATGACGTAGGAAATCTTGAGCAACTCTAACTATATGCGGACAAGCATTATCTTGCTGAAAAATTGCTCCATAAATCATTTATGAAAGTTCCCAAGAGGGGTCCAAGAATGTCCTCAAAATAACGCTTGTCCGTTTAGGTCCTACATACCACAATAATAGTGGACCCGCTTTTATAGATTATGGCCCCCCAGGCTATTACGCATGCTAAGCGGGAAATGTGTCGCGCGACAACGAGGGTATTAATTGTACCGTTCACCAGGATCTTCACACCTGTACGCAGTTTTCAAATGAGTCGGGATTCATCACTAAACACCGCACTAAAACTGTGGCGTTTCATATCCTCGTGGCTTGGCACCACTGTAAATGGCGTAGCCAATGCTAAAGGCAAGGGCACCTTTAGCTAAAGCCAATGCTAAGAAATGGTTTGGGAAACAACTGGCACTCCTACAACTAATTGTGACGTGGAATGATTCACTGTGGGATTCAAAAGCCCTTGACGCACGATCCTTTGATCCTCTCGCCTCGTCGCCTTCCTGATCGCTCCAGACCCAGTTCTCGGCACGTGGTACCATCTCGTGTCCAGTGCTCCCAACATGTTTTGACTTCACAATCCGAACGATCTACCTGGAGAGCAGCACGGCACGCCGGCCGACCAGCCTTCGATTTTCATTCAGGCCCCTCTCAAACTCACTTCACTATGAGAAATGTCTTCTCACACGTCTACCTGGCATTCTTCGCTTAGAAAGTCCCCCTGGAGTCGCAATATGATCTTCGCGTTTATGAATCTTCATCTATGCCCCGGTTTATATAGAGCTCACTTCCTGATTACAGCGCCGCTGCAGGGTGTGTGGTAATCGCAATGGCACCAAACTTGGATCATTTGCATATTGGATCTCACTGTATACTTACGTGCAAAATTTCGCAATTGTACCTTTCTTCCTTCTTGGTTTACTATTTTCAATGTTTTGAGTGTGTATCCTCCTTTTTTAATGAAAGGTAATATTCGTAGACTTACTACTTTCGGAAGAACGACGTTTTAAATATTTATGCCTTTGTCTCTTAACTTGAAATTAAAATAATAATCTGCGTGTCCTAATGCTAAACAGATATTCTTATATTAGATTGCATGAAAAAAGGTTAATTATTGAGATGAATATGTATTGCCCGTTATTATACGTCTGTTGTTACAAAATGAATCATATGTCTATAAATGAGTTCAACTCAGGGAAAGTTAACTATATTTACTGAAAATCATACGCTTCTTCCTTTATGGCTCAAATATTGTTAAAACGTTCAAGGTAATATAAATGCAAGAGAAGTTGTAAAGCAATCCATAAAAATTCTAAACTTCAACGGCAGGTATATAATGAGCAGAAAATTAGATTTATTTTTTCTCTGAATCTATACGCATACATATTAGAAATGATTTAATTATTTCCTTTACTAATTAAAGAACCTCCCAGACATAATAGTATATATTATAAAGAAAACAAAATGATTAGTTATATTTATAATATGGTTAACCACGGTTCTTCAATGGTTAACCAAGGTTCAGTTTAAATGCTGATTTTCATCATATTTTTATCTGAAGAAACTAGGAAACAAACTTGTGCCTTATATCTGTAAAAGGCCCAAATTTGGTATCTGTGGTTTGCCTATTTGGGAATAGATCTTGATTAAATGAAAGACCGATTTACAAATTTTTAACAGAAGTTCTTTAACCACCCGGTATTATGTGAAGGTGTGAAGATATCCTGAATCTCTAACTAGCATTTTTAGGGGTCTGTATTCCCAGAGATTTTCCTAGTAGACCATAATTCTAGAGTTAATCTCGGCTCCATAATGGGCGAATAACTTAAAAACAAAAATATCTTTCAATTAATTGTCCAGGTTATTCGTCGCAACTAATTTTATTGAATATACCTAGGGATTTAAGAAATCTGATTTGCTGCAAGCAAGCTTCCAGTAGGGAAGCTTCAAGAATTCAGTCTGATCGTCCTAGAAAAAAATGGGAATTACAGGGGACTCAACTCATATTCTAATCAATTCCATGCACAGTTTCCGATACCAGTATGTCAGATCGTAATAATCTCATACCATTATTGTGTGCAGCTTGATATGTGCATCATGATTCATCTCTGTATGCATATATATATATAAGCAAGTAGATAGATATGTATTCATTTAATTTTTGCTGTACATGGATAAGTGGCATAATAAGTCTCTACTAAATTTTATGCAAAAATGCAGAATGTTTTTTGCTATACATCACGATTAATATTAAATTTTCTAATTTACGTTTAAATTTTATGCACAAATGTATACCTAGATTCATTTGCTTTAGTGTCTGTACAGCTTATTTTAAACCTTTGTTAACGTTGTTTCTATCATATTTAATTATAATCAGTTGAAATCTTTTAAATGTTGGTGAAAGATATGTAATAAGCTAACATTTGTCAATATAATCATTACGTTTTTTTTAAGCAAGAGACATGAAAAATGTTCACTGCCCTCGCCGGTTCTCGAACCCTGGACCGCTCGAATACGTATCGAATATTCTTACAATTGCACCAAGAAAGCATGTGGAAAGAACGAAAATACATTATATATTCCCCTTTTTAAGGGCGACTGGGGATTAGGGTACCCAATCGCCAAATCATGGTGGTGACGAATCATCGTCCACCACTTTTTAAGTCGCGCGCCATTGTAGAGTCATTACGGATTTTTGTCCTCGATGGAACTCGAACTCTGTACCTCTCGAATAGAGTCGAATATATCTCCAGTTACACCATGAAGGCGTGTGTAAAGAAAGAAGAAAATGCCTTATATACTCCCCCTTTTGAAGGGCGATTGGGAATTAGAAGACCAATTTGCCAAATGTTGGTAGTGACGAATTATCGTCCACCACCTTTTAGTTCGGACGCCACTGTAGAAGCATTAAGGCTTTTGATGCAGGAGACGTGAAATTCCCTCGCCGGGATTCGAATTCTGGACCTCTCGAAAACGTGTCGAGTATGCTTCCAATTACACCCCGAAGCCATGCTTAAATGCATCATTTCAAATTAGAAATTATTTTTCACGTTTATTTAGTAAGACTTGGTTTTATATATAAGATAAAAAATATTGAAATATAGACTTTCAATTATTGATCATGCTTAATTTACCGAAATGTCAATAAAAAGATAAATTTTTACAAAATTAAAGAAATTGTGTTCAATTATATGTATAAAATATGGAAATCTCCGTATTATCAACTTTCCAAAAATTTGGAATTGCGAAATGAGTAATTTTCTCAAAAGAGTGTTCTGGAAGAGGACATCTTAAAGTAATTTAAAATATCGAGATTGAGAAAGATAAAACTTTCCGTTCGGTGTGTCAACTCACGTGTAAAATCTTTTCCAGAGGTTTTTCGTGACGCATTACTGATAAGAACAAGGAATTATTCAGGAAATTTTGAAACCCTTTAAAGCGATCTTTCAAAACCTCATAAAAAAGTTTGAAATTAGTAAAAATATATCTTTTTGGTCTCAAACAACTCTTAAAATTTAAGCTTAAAATATCGAACTATATCATGCCACTAACTTTAAATGTAGCTTTTGTTTCCACTTACTTCTCCTCATTCTAATATGCTACGAAACTGTAATGTTAGAAAACAATAAATGAAGATAAATGATTCTTAAATGAAGATAGAACACAAACTATGTTCTTCAAGAACGAATGGTAAACACAAAATCTTTTGTCAAATTGGGCAAGTTAAAATATACGGTTAGTATGGAGGCTCATGTTGGAAATGTAGCACCATTTAAGGAATAAGCGTTTGAACTTATAGCAATAGCGAAGAAATCAACTTAAAGATTTAAATAGGGTTATTTTCAAGTGCCGTTTCTACGGCACTACGAAATTCATTTAAATAAAATTTGTAAACTTCTGGATGAAATTAAATAATTATTAAAAATAATAACATAATTTCCGTATTAAGTTATCAAAATTCTTTAAATATTTTTTATTATAAACGCAGTATTTATTAAATTTTTTCACCGAGACGTTTTTGTTGTTTCTGTAGTAATTATTTGTTTTCTGTCTAACTTGACAACAGGTGAGCGCACTTAATAATTGTCAACGTTTTCGTTAAAGTTTTAGCTGAATCTTGAGTTAGTTTTGAAAATTTATCTTAAATATTTCATTGATTTTGGAGGTTTAAATTAAAGCTAGATGCAAAATCGCTAAGTGATCAGTGCAAATTCAGATTGGTTATCTATTCAGATTAAATGATTTCAATATTTAGCATGATACAGGTATCAAGGTTGAATTTTCTAATTTCATCGTTAAATGGAAAATTATTCGAACAACGTCTATTCATAGCGCGAAAAACAGAAATGCTTGTATTCAAGTCAAGACAAAGATCTGGTCTTTACGAAATGTGATAATATTTAATAAGATACATATCGTTGCGTGCGTACGGGTTCGTTATAAATTAAATGCACAAAGCCCGATGAAAAATGAATATAATTTATTATTATCACAACAAATAAAACAAAAATGCTTAAATTTCTTCAGATATTTGCACAGCACTAAAATATCTCACGTAATTATTTTTTAACTACTCAAGCGTTCAACAGAACATAATTCAAAACAGCTTAAGAAAGCTAATCCGCGAATTCACTACGGTCAACAACGAGCAGCTTTCTAAATAAACTCTTAAAACAACAACGAACTGAACTGAGAGGTTTTCCTCCTTTTTATAAGCTTTTTAAATTACGCGCGAGATTGTTCTAGCAATTTTTTGAAATCAAAAAAGATACTTATTTATTTAAATGTTAAATTCACGTGCTCTTGTATTTTTAATTTTCTCGCTTAGCTTTCTTTTATTATTCGTCACGCGCTGCACTGCACGGGGAATAAAACAATTTTATTTATAATTCTACTAACATTAACTATTTAAATACCAAATCCGTAACACTGCCCCCTTCCCAAGGACTAGACGTCCCGGTCAGTACAGACCCTGGACAGGAAGTCAAACTTACAACTATTGCATAAATGCAATAATAAACATTACATTACAATAACAAACAACATGAACAATAAATGCAATAACTAACATAAACAAATGAAATGAAGGGGGCTTTGTCCCTGAAGAACTATTGTTTTCGTTTTGAGATTTTGCGTTGGTTCACTATAAATATCCGTTTCACTTTTCAAACTGTTGCCCCCAAATATTAGAATCCTGCATTATATTTGATGAAATTAAACAATGAAAAATCTGCATAAATGTATGTATATTTCTCGCATTGTGGTAAAACAACGGTACACAGAGACATCGAATTTTGAATGGCGTAATCCTACTGCGAATATGGGCATGGAAGCCGAAATTTGGAATTCGTTTTGTTATCGATTTCATATTTTGTAAAACTTTAACGAATTTTTGATTAAAAAACTCAACAATTTCAAAGCGAGGAATGGCAACACTCTACGGGAAAAAAATTTGTATCTCCAGTATGCGAAATTATGTATCGGAAATTCTAAAGATACGCTCATCTTAAAATTATTTTGCGATATTGCTGTTGAATTGAATTTTTTGGTTTAAGTGCGAAGAACGTGATATTTAAAAAATAAAGGTAACACACAAAACGTTAAAAAAAGTCCCTTTGGGCGTAGTGTAAAATTTGAGAGCTTTGAGATTTTTTCCTTTTCTTTAATTACTTTTTCTTTCAGTCTTTTTTATTAACTTATTTTTTAATATTTTCCCCCATTTCCAGTGCTGTTGTAGATTTACTGATTTATTTTGCTAATGCTGTAACTTACTTGTGTAAGCCTCGTGGTATATATTGTGGAGCACGAGGAGTTAAAATTAGAGTTAACAAGAACAAAAGACAAAACAAAAAGTTGAAAAAAAATGTGTTTGCAGGAACGTGTGTAGTGTTCTGCTATGTCTATAAGCTTGTCTTGATGTCCTGCAGCTACTTAAGCTGGCTCAAGGAATCAATGGTGTATCTTTAAACGTCAAGCTAGCAAGATGCTAAAACCAGAATAAAAATTTGGCAGAGTTGACACGAGTACATAACTACAATACGAGGCTGCCATAAGCTCTAACTATAAAACATTAAAACCCTCGATTTATATATACAAGAACACATTTGCAATTTCGTGAGAATTATGAAAAGAAGTTAAAATAAAGACTCAAATCATAATAACTGGTTAATTAATATAATATTTCCTTGTGATATATATTTGCTTGTGGAATTTTAATTTTGACGATCTTTGTTTTGAGAATATATGTAATCAAGATTTAAATTAAGTTGCAGTTTATCTACTGAAGGAAAAGTAAACTGAATTTTTTACTTTGTAAATAAAAGTAAAATACAAATCTATTCTAAACTATGTTTTTATGGGAGTCTTAATTCTCTTTTCAAGGTACCGTTGCTCCCATTTTAGTGCTTGAAAGCAGAGAATCCATCAACATTTGGGAAGATGTGAATATTATAGTTCCTATTGTAGCGGCTATTATTGCTCTTACTGTCGTCATAGGAGTTGCCGTATGCGTCTGTGTCAAAAAACGACACGGAGGAGGTAACTTATCTCATTTTTGTATGAATTTGTGAAGATGATCAAATGTGTTGTTATTTCTACTGAGCGTTTCATACGTTTCTACTTCTCAGTCTTTCAGTGTTTCGTAGCAGTCATAATATTTCAACGTACAATTTCTGTTCTTTCTCAAATATCACATATATTTTTTTCCTTTTCAAATACAATTTAGGAAATAAGATTAACAAGACCTGTGTGCATAGTTCTAAAACCTTAAATAAGCTATAAAATACCATCTAGCTGTTTTTGAAGGGAACGTACTGAGGAAAATCTTTAGTACTGCAAACATTGACTGCTTGTGGTGATAGAGATGTAACATTAAATTAAATAACTAATAAAAAGGAAAAAATGATGTGAAATACTTTAAAATTAACTATGTGATGGTCGCGTTTTCTGAATCAATTTTTACCCTTAAATTAATAGAAAAACGTGTAAGAGAAAGGCTCAGTTTTAGATAGTTGGACTGCAAAGAAAGATAAAATTATTGAAGCATTTTAGGAACATGTCAAAATATGACCGACAGTCTACGTATTCTAATTCAGGGAAATCCTTTAAACATCAAAAAGTCCAATATGAGAGTAATCATGCTACATTAAATCATGTGATTCATATGCGGCATGAAATCATCTGTATCATCAGGATTTTGTTCATTAAAGTAAAAGTGATCCCTATCTCTGATTGTTTTATGTAGTATTTTCACATGATGTTAAATGTTCTTGCTACACATGTGCGTACAGGTCACGGTAAATTAAATGTTCACTCACCTCATAATGTAACTAAAATATAGTCGCAACATACAATGTGATTATTCTCATATTATTCCTATTATTAAAAATTGTACTGCGGCAGAATTACTTCAGCAACACAGGTTCATATTGTAAGTATTTAAAGAGATAGCATTGTATACAACACATGAAATTATTCTTTCAAAATTCTGTACATATTATATAAAATTATGCGAATTATAATTATGCAATAATATAAAATTCCTATATGCAATATTATAAAACAAATGTAGATTATAAGCATTATAAAAATGAATATGTTTTGGTAAGTTCATTTATGTAATTTTACAGAAAGACTGCAACAATCTACTGTTTCTTGCAACATGTCATTTTATAAATTTGATTTTTGCTAACTAAGTTGAATAAACTTCCCAGTATGATAATGATTCGGAATCAAAAGTCCCAGGTGATTATTTTTCAGGGTTAATTCTTTCTCCTGAAATAAATGGAATTCTTTAGTTCACGTGACGATGCATACTCATTAAGATTATTTTAATTAACATCTTGGATCTTCCAAATATATTCCGTTCTTTTCCGAAGCGTAATTAAGGTTTTCTGAAGACATTAGTTTACCGTGAAGTGTTGATTTCTTCCTTTAAATCATTAAGATAAAAAGTGGGCAGCTGCAATATAACAAAAGCTTTTTAATCATTCAGATGGAAATTGAATAGACGATGAGTAACAAAATCTCTTCCTTTCAGAACAGTCCTACGGAATATTTTTTTATCCTTGATGTTGTTTCCAATATTGGATTTAAAGACACATTCAACTTCAAGTTAATCCATCTTCTCTTCATGAAAATTTGCTTTTGGAAAGTAATGTATTTGAATATAAAATGAATGCTCAAAATATGAATATATTGTTTAAAAAATAATTTTTTTCTAAAAATCTAAAAATAAATTCCTTTTCAGAATTTTGTATAAAAGTTGGATAATTTTATATACTTGATTTTAGAAATGAGATTTGAAGAAATGTTTCTTATAACTTTCGATCTTTACAAACTAAGGACTTACTTCTAAAACTGCGACAATATCGAATGTCCCAGTTTATGCCTTTCATGCTAATAGTTTAAATGTATCATTTTAGAAGTACAGATTTTTCCTACTTTACAAATGTATAAAATTCCTACGAATCCTTCTTTAAGTCGTAATAAATTTAATAAAGAAGTAATTATAGTTAATTTATAAGAGAAAATGTTTTGGTCATTTATCGCCTATATCGCAGCAAAATCTTTAAAATGACACTTAAAATTTCAATTATCAGTTCAGTTATTTTGATGACGAAAGAAAGAGCTGGCTTTACCAGTGATTAAATGTTATTGTAATAATTTAAAGTGTTATTATAAAATATTGCATTAAAGTAGTTCTAAAGAAATTTACATAAAACTTTGGCATTTAGATACTCAGCGCCGTTTCGATTCTTTGTTTTAACTCAGCATGAAGTTTTGGATTACCTGTTTTTAAAGATGTAAGAGTAACAACTGAAATACGCTGTTGACCATTAAAATTGTTACACTAGAAAGGAAAGCAAATGGCAGAATCTTATTTATTGTATATATGCAATATAATGGGATAGTGACGAGTTTAAATTTACTGTGGTTTGGAATACACAGCATGCACAATTCAGTGCACAGAGCTACTTCATTTCATGCGGCTTTATGCCAGAGTTCATCGATCCTGGTGTCTGTTGAGTAGTGATGTGCCAATCTCTTGGCAATTTGTGACCAGGTGTTTATGATCAATTGGTAAGAGATACAGAAAACGTGATAGCTAAGACAAAATTCGAACATCCTCTATATTGAAGAAAGCCAGAACAACTGGACAACATGCAGTTGTACATCTTGTTGCAAGATGACGTCGCAAGCCTCGAAGGTAGGACCCAGACACGTCAGAAACGCAAAGGCGGCTGTCCACGTTACCGGTTATGCGAACAAAAAGTGACGAAGTATGTATGACGATGACATCATATATATATATGTATATATATATATGGCGACGACACTGAGAAGTGCCATGTGGAATCTGATAGCGACGATGATCTATGACGATGAAAAATGCAAGCTGGCAATGTTCATTCTCCTTGGTGCCTCCCCATATGAATACGTCCATCATGATGCTGTGCACGAAGCTTCGTCTGGATAGCCAACGTGGTACACCTCCTATACGTCCACTGTCGTTTTTCGTCACTACTCTGAATTCGCACCATCTTGTCTCTGCAGCAGTGTCAAAGAAGCCACGACAATGGTAGCCGTACATGCAATCCGTGATGTCGTAGACATGAGGCGTACTAGAGGACTTTGAGATGACAAAATAACGATAGCGCGTTAAAGATGAATCTTCCAGTATGAGTTAAGGGAGACACCAGAAACTAGGGAAAAGAATGAAAAATCATATGTAAAAATTTTATTGCCATTTGTCTCTATCTGGTTTACTAAGTTTGCCTGTCTCAGCGTCGAATGGCGAAATTAGTCATTTGGTTTGACGGATGCAAATGGCTTGAAATACAACAGTACTCTGCATGCCATCTAAGGCGAATTTTACTCTATTCTTGTTCTCTGTAGCTAATCAAAATATGCTGCAAAACTACCTTGAGCTCAGTTTTTTTAAGGATTATTATACGCTTTCTTTTACACAGAACAAACAAGGAGTTATAGTTTCGTGTTTCGCTTTTTGTAAAAGTGAAAATACTGTTTCGAAATTTTTTTTCCGTAATCGAAAAATGTAGTAAATGGCAAAGTAGTACGACGCGAACTTTCGTAAAACAAAAACGATATGTGTGCCGCAGTTTTTCTTATTTTGAAAACTAATTAATAATCAGTTAAATTTAAGCTTACGTCTTGTTGTATCCTTTGTTTTACAACTAAATTGATTATTTTGTTTCTAAACTACTTTTCCATTTTAATGTAATGTAAAACTTATTATTGAGGAATTAAAATTTCTGAAATCCATTTTAACAATCTAGATGATTATTACGAAAGACGTGGTGGTAACTCCAACACAGCACCTCTGATGCCAAATCAACCAGTGAAGAAATCAACAGATAGTAATAACGCTCCTATTCGTGAAACTTCAATGTACCAAACATGTGGTCCTAAAACTACTTTACCCACTGGAAATCAAGATCAAACATCAGTGGCGGAACAAGGACATTGTGAGGCATAGTAACATTTTATTATTCCTTTTTTTGTCATATTTTTCAGCTTCACTAGTTAATTAAGATACATCTTGTTAAAAATTTGCACACCGAATTGCCCCATTTACTTCTCATTTCATAAATAAAGATTATTTATTCTTTGCTGCTTTATTTCTAATTCAGAAACAGACCGTAGATCAAACAAAATGATGAAATATCCAAAAAATATATTCTGGTGATTTCTAAACAAGTGTACGACTTGAAGGGTTGTCGGAAATATTGAAATCTGGAAATGTCAAAATGCAAGGAAACTTGTATCTGTCAAAAGCTTTCATAAGAGAAAAGGATGCCCTTTCCAGATTTCTTTGAAAACAGAATTGTTTAATCATAATTTGAGATTGTGTGTTTAAGATATCGATAACAAAATCTGTATTTTATTAGATATTTTGTTTTTATTTGGATTGAGGTATTTGAACTATGACCAATTGTTGACTGCATGATGCTGCATCAGATTTGTCTGAATGTTTTATGAACTTAATGTGAAATATGAAGGCTTTTATTTTTAACATTTTTACAACTATGTTTAACTTTTAAAATATGACATTACAGATCAGTTGCAACAATGAATTACATATTACTACATCAGAAACAAACAGCATAATGTATTCTATCTACAAAATATATTTTGAAACTGAATTCTTTAAAAGTTTCAAAATTCAGGGACTCTAGACATTTTAAATTTTTTTTTTAGCCCAGAGTGCATTAGGCCAGAAGGGCTACTAATTTCGGTGTTGCATTTTGAGTCGAAAACTTCAGAAATCTGAATTACTTTTAACAAATTGTTGCCCCCCAGATATTATCGCGTGTATTACATTAAAAAAATTAAATAATGAAGAATCTGCATGAATGTATGTAAGTTTCTCGCATTGTGATAAAATAATGGTACCTAGAGCCAGCAAATTTTGAATAATGTACGTCTCCACCCGAATATAGGCACCTGGAAGCAAAATTTGAAGTTTGTTTTATCATCAATTTCATAAAGCATTTATGAGTTTTTAAGTAAGAAACTCGGCGATTTCAAAGCGAGCAATGGTAACACCGTACGGAAAAATAAATAACATTTTCATCTCCGTGGCGCGAGACTGTGTATCGGAAATTCTACCGATATGCTATTTTTAAATTATTTTGCGATATTGTTGTTCAATTTAGAAATGAAGGGGGCTTTGTCCCTGAAGAACTATTGTTTTTCGTTTTGAGATTTTGTGTTGGTTCACTATAAATGTCCGTTTCACTTTTCAAACTGTTGCCCCCAAATATTAGAGTCCTGCATTATATTTGATGAAATTAAACAATGAAAAATCTGCATAAATGTATGTATATTTCTCGCATTGTGGTAAAACAATGGTACACAGAGCCATCGAATTTTGAATGGCGTTATCCTACTGCGAATATGGGCATGTGGAAGCCGAAATTTGGAATTCGTTTTATTATCGATTTTATATTTTGTAAAACTAACGAATTTTTGATTAACAAAATCAAGGCTTTCAATGCGAGCAATGGCAACACTGTATGGAAAAAAAATTTGTATCTCCAGTACGCGAAATTATGTATCGGAAATTCTAAAGATATGCTCATCTTAAAATTATTTTGCGATATTGCTGTTAAATTGAATTTTTATGGTTTAAGTGCGAAGAACATTATATTTAATAAATAATGGTTAACAGGCAAAACGTTAAAAAAACGCCGCTTTGGACGTATTATAAAATCTAAAAGCTTTCAGGTTTTGTTTCTTTATTTTGTTTTCCAGCAGCAGATTCCGGTATTTGAATCATTTAGTCAATCCTTAAATTTTGAGGACAATTTTTAAGAAGTTACAAAGGCTGTGTCAACAAAACTTATAACTCAATTTTTTCGTTTATAATTTGATTTATTGAACTGAAGAAAGAACTAATGAATAATGCCAAAATTTTTCCTCTGTTTAGACTACGAGGATGACATCGCCCCATACGCTACGTTCCGCCTTCCAGGATGCGAGTCGGACACCGAGAGTTCGCATGGAACAGTCCGAGAGCTTCAGACTTTCGGACACCAACAGTACATCAGAAGATCTTACCCGGACCACTCAACGGCTCAGTATGAGGTTCTTTTCATTATTTCCATTAATAGAAATATGCACATTGCATTAATGGTGCCTCACTTTCCAAAAAAATATTTTGTGATTTTATGTGAAAGCACGATAGAAATTAACCAGCGTATTAGTAACGTGTCTCCACTAAAAGACTTTTTTATAACATATTGGTTGTTTTCAAACCATTTGAAATACGCTCAGTAGTTTTGTATGTAAAAAGATGCACGATTACTTTTTTAAAGAAATCTAAAGGTCGGGGAAATTCAACGCATAATATGAAAAAAAAAAACCCGCATAACTATCATTTCTTTTGTCACTCTCTTTGTCGATTCAAAAATCATTTAATTCTAAACCGTTGAATAATGCGTTTGAATTCTCATCGGCGATTTCGTGCCTTTTTTCTTCTTGCAAAATTTCAGTCCAGACTGTCATTAAATTTTTAACAAGACAACATTGTCCTCTTCCATTTCTATTAAATACACAACTATTCAAAATACATATTTTTCTCATGATGTAAAAATGTACATAAAATACAAGTTAATATACAATAACTTATATAAATTACAATATATTATGCAAGGAGTTTCAAAATGATTGCACCACTTAATATCTCTTAAGCAATCACAAGTCTCCCTTTTGATTGACTGTTACATTACATTTTAAGAATGTTATTAAGAAGATTATATCATTACATTTTAAGAATGATTGTTGTTGGAATTTATCTTGATTACATTTTAAAAAGTATTGTTGTTGGAATTTATGTTGATTACATTTTCAAAATGATTGTTGTTGTAATTTATGTTGATTATATTTTAAGAATGATTTTTGTTGAAATTTATGTTGGTTATATTTTTTAAATGATTGTTGTTGGATGTTGGAATTTATGTTCATTACATTTTAAAAATTATTGTTGTTGGAATTTATGTTGATTACATTTTAAAAATGATTGTTGTTGGAATTTATGTTATTTATATTTTAAAAATGGAAAAGATAGGTAGCATTCAGACTACGACAATTTTGGTTATCAAGAGTTTCAGTAAAAATGCATCAGACTTAATTCTATATGGTTCATAAAAAAGACATCAAAAGACCAAAATATCAATGAATAACGAGTTTTAAAATACAATAAACAAAGGTCTCCGTCATTATATGATAACAACTGTCCTATATGTGAGTAATTAAATCTTTCTGGTTTTATATAGAGTATTATTAAAGGTAGCAACGCATATTATGCTTTCAAATGTAATATCTAATCAACACATTTTATGCCAGAAAGAAAAAAAGCATGATTTTTAAATCCACATTTTCGGAAAATGTTTTATTTCAACTATTTTTCACGCTGTTAAAATTAGAGTTTTCCATTTTCATGTGAAAATTGCACAAGACAAGTAATTTTTATAATGTTTTCAGTGCCAGTTTTGCATATTCTAGAATAGTTGTCTTTTCTAAAAAAATCTTTAATAGAATAAAGAACATTTTACTAACTAAAAATTTTTTTTGAATGGTTCGTTTAAAATTTAAATTTTTATCTGCTATTCATTATTTACTGAAATTTTCAAAATTGCCAAAACTATGGCATTCTGAAAGAATTTATTTGTATATTTAATTTCTAAAAATTATTCAATTGGTAATGTAGCTTTTAATCTAATGTTAAAGAGATAGAATGTTCAGAAGACAGTCGTGCGATCTTTTCTAAAGGCCATGTACAATAAAAGTTCTAAAATTAATGTTTGCAAGCTTTTATTTATTTAATGCCTTTCTCAGAACGTGCTTAATTGCTTTACAAAGTCATAAAGAATGCGTTAATACAGTTTTATTTCCATTTTCAGTCTACAAGAGCAACTTATACTAAGACAGGAAGTCGATCGATATCAAAAAATTGGTGAGTTTTTCTCTGCAGACCTTTATAATTTCAAGATATTTACTTGTTTCTTTTGCATCTCTGAGGAATGCTAAACTGTATGAACGCATCAGTAATCATAATTCCTATTTAAACATACTCATTGGAAACATACTTTCTAAAAGAATGTATCATATGTATTCAATGAATCATTAAAAAAACGTATTACAGGTATTCAGTGCCATAAGAAATAAAAATATTATTAAGTATTCATGAATAAAAACCCAAAGTTTGATAAACTTTCATGTAAGTAAAACTTTGATGGCTATACAAGAAGTAATTCAGGAGTTAAAGCATTTGGAGCTGATATTTGGAGATTTCTAGTTTCAATTTCTTGCTTCTGCTGAGTTTTATAGATCATGCTATAGATATTGCTGGAATTAGATAAACTCTTGCCGTTACTTCCTTGAAAGCATCAATACATTTGCACTTCCTTAGTTCTATAATATTTATCCCCGACCAGGTTCTCTGAAACAATTTATATAAATATTAGGGTTTATTAAGCAAGTAACAACAGAAATGGTATGTTCCATGTCCTCTAAGTTCTTCCATTTAGTTAAGACTTTCATGCACTACATCGTCGTAAAAGAATAAATAAGATAATGAAGTATTTACCGGATTTCCTCGCGTATTTTCCTCTTTTTTTTTAACTAATTGTATCATCTGAAAATGAAAAGGAGAAGCTTGTGCCAGTAACTTAATTTCCTAAGAACAGGGTTTCAGTAAGGCTATAACAAATGAAAAGTAGTCATGAATAAACTACTAGTAGCTATCACAATATTAATTCTTCAAACAAAATCTACATTCCAATAGAATACATAGTAATATCAGTCTTACAATATGTTATAAACATTGAGCCAGATACGTAAAGCTCCCTGGAGAATATGAGTGATCGGAGGAATGAAGGACAAGGGAACGAACAAAAGGCCCGGATTTCGAAAGATCGAACACATCAGCAGTAGATGAAAAGCTTACAATGAATTGGAACACAAATAATAGAAGTAAGAGGAAATTACATGAAATCAAAAAAATTCTTAATTCTGAGAACACCTGCCACATCCGGACAGGTTAACGAAGAATCCGCGCAAAATGCGTTTCAAATAATAAATACAAGAGAAAATAAAACCTTGGAAATGCTAATACAAAAATGCAAATGAGAATGCATTGAATGAGAATAAAAATTATCAAGAGAATAATAAAGTAAGTAATAAGTGTTGCCTTCACATTTATCAATAACTGCTGCTGCCGAGACGTCGAATGAAAGATGCTTTGTATGTGTTATTGGCCAATGGAAGTTCATGCTGTCTTTACAAGTAGCCAAAGTTCATATGGCGTACCAGCGGGGTGTGGCATGCCAGGCTAGACGTTCTCCAGTCATTAATTAGACATATTCGATTGGCTACTGATCTGGAGAACAGGCTGGCCAGGATAAGAATACAACATGACACGCTAAGAAAAAAGCTTGAACATTGCGTGCTACATGTGGTAGCGCATTGTCCTGTTGAAATAGAGCTGCAGGTAAACTCTGAGCTTAAGGAAGGATAACAGGCTGCAAAACCTCAGAGATATATCGTTGGCTGGTAAATGTACCGATAATGCGTAGTAGAGTGTGCGAGAGTGGAATCCAATATGACCCCACACCATAACACCGAGAGCAGAACCAATATGACGATACATAACACAACAGTCGAGCAGCCTCTCTCCCCGATATCTAAATACTCTAATCTGACCATCATGGTACTGCAGGCAGAATGGTGATTAGTGCGAAATTACAATGTCATGCCATTCGGATGTCCATCTCCACCGTTCAGTGCACCATTTTGTTTTTCCTTTGAGAACATACAGATTCCCCGTGCACCACATATGTACAACACGGGGCTTACAGAAGTAAGTTAACTAGAACATTAAAGGTCACATGTATAAATAAACATTAAAAATTACATGCATAAATAAAGCGAGCAAAATCAGAGAACAGCAGTCTGGACTTCACGAAAACAGATACGTTCACCGGCCAAGTCACTCCGAACGTTTTCAAATCGTTCTGTAAGCATAATCTAGGGCCATCAAATGTAGGGCACAAGAAAATCAAATGTTCCACATCCTGAGGAACTCTTTTTGAACATTCACATAAATTGTTTGATCGTAGATTAAAACGAAACAGATAACTTGCAAATTTACCGTGACCAGATAAAAACTGAGACACTTTAAAATTTAACGAGGAAAGACTCTGAATTCAGTCTTTGGTAAATAGAAGGAAGGAACTTTTGGTGACTTCAGCATTACAAGATGAAACGTATTCCTCATTCCACATAGCTAAAGCTTTTTATAATGAAGGACTTCCAATAACTCTTTGGAATGCTAATGTTGATATCAATGGTAATTTAAGGCATCTTTAGCTAAGAATCAGCTCTTTCATTTCCGTAGAAACCATGATGAGCACGCACATAATCAAAGCAGTTATCAATACCTCTAATTCTAAGTGAACTACAGTACTAGGATTTCGATAACTAATTTATCGCAGCTGGTATACTGTTCAAAAGTTGAAGAGAAGAAAAGAATCAGAACAAATAAGGTACTTTGAGGATGATTTGTCCCATGACCTGGATCCATTTGACGGCAAATAAATGCACAGAAGTTCTGCTTGAAAAACTGTACATTCATTCCATATACGGTGTCTAAGAAAACAAATCTCGGAATGGCCTTCAAAAGAACAAATGCAAGGCCAACCTTGTTGTTCATCTTGCTGCCATCTGTAAAGAAACCATATGAAACTTATTTTTTCAGCAGTCTCTTTATAATCGCAGAATTTATGGGTTCTAAAGAAGCGGGATGAGGAAGATCAGTGAAGGGACAATTCCATTAATACAGTCTTCCGAAGCATGAGTTCCCAATGACTCAAAAATATTATTCTTATATGCAATTTCAAAATCAATAGGCGGAACTCCTGCAAGAACAAAAGTAGCCTCATAGCTTAAGGAATGAAAGGTACAATACACTGCATATACATGAGTTTCTTAACATCGTAGCTTACTCCAAAAGTATTTTTGGCAATTCGTTGAAAGCCATTAATAATTTTTTCACATTTAGCAGAAAGGAATTCAGTGTGCTTTTTCCATGTTACTTTTTGGTCAAGAATGACACCAAGATATTTAACATTTTCTACAAATTCCAACGGAGAATTATCGAGCATCAAAGAAGCAATATTTTGTTCATCAAACGTACTGGGAACAAATCGCAGACGCCTATGATTTAAAGTAATCGAAGCAATCGACGCTTAGCGGAGACTCCATTTTTCTGTAAATGACGTCGAATGGTTCATGCAGACACGACTGTTATGGTACAGACTGCATTCGTTGTGATATGGTTGCGGATGTGGCAATGCGCTCCGTTAGTGCCATGCGCCTTTCTGTGGAGTGGTGGGACGGAGCGGTTTCAAGCACTCCTATCCATCAGCTGTTCTCTCCTGCTATAACCGATTTTTCGGAAGAATAATACGCAATCTCTGTATGTAGCGATTCTGCCTCAGTCGGAGTCAGACACGAGCTCGAATGGTGCTCGTGTTTTTCTACGAAACAAACTGAAGCTGCACATACAAAAATAAATAAATAAAAAAATAAAAATAAAAACCCTCACGAGGGAATAATTTACGTTATTCAAAGTGGTAGCTTCTTCTATTATAAACATGTAAGGATCGATGCAGTTTCCCACGATGTGTGCGGGCGCTGAATTCGTAATCATTTGCGTATTCTATCGCGGTATACGCATGGTGCAATTTTTATGCTGATTTGATGCTTTCTCAAAGTGTTGCATTTTCGGTGGCCAGCAGTATAATTTACCAATAAACTAGCCTTCAGAGGGAAATTCATGCACAGAAGACGAAGGGAAAATTTATGAGAGTATTTTTAATATTTTTAGAACATACTAGAGGGAGAAAATATGTAATGATCAAGATGGGCAACAAATCTGTCCTCGTTGTCAAGTCTATGAATTCTGCGGAACTGTGCTAACTTCTAAATGAACTGGGAACTTTTTTAAAACATTTTGAAGTCAAACAACAAAAATCAGCTTTATATTTTCAAGCGTTCACAGGACTAGTTTCGATGGTTTTACCGAACCATCATTCTCAGCTGCAATCTTCATTTAGATTTTTCATCGTTCGTTGAAATTAGAATTCCTAATGAGGAATGTAATATTGCCAATTAATTATCCTTACATCGTATATTTTTCGAATGCATAAGCATCTAATTCGTACCAGATTTATATATTGAAAAATAAAAAAAAAATAAAAAATAAAGCATTTTGATAGACCGCCTATTTACCATCCAGTTTGGATTAACAAAGGATTCCTTAAAATTCACTAAAAATTTAAGCACTATTCACATTCCACCGATAACACGTTTATGCACATTTTGAATTAAATTCTATGAATTCAGCTTAAATAACGAGTTCCTAAAATAGACAAGATTTTCAGCTGTTAAAATGCAATTCGAGAAAAGCAGAGTTAAAAATGAATAATTCGTTCATATCTCTTTGTAAGATCTCTTTGTTCAGCTAGAATATTTTCTCAGAATTTCATTTTGAATACTAATTTTACAAAATTATCTGATTTCTTTAACTATTTTGAACGGAATACTAAATGCAAATTTTATTGCATTTAATATTACTGTTAAGCGATTTGAAATCAATAATTTACATAATTTTTCTATCTTATTGCTATATTTTTATAGCAAGTGTGGAAACCGCTTACCAGTACTAATACTCGGTTCTGTTTATATTAATATTTTATCTGGTTTTCAAAAATGAATTGAAATTACAAATTTATATCTTTTTAATGCAATAAAAATTGATTTCATTTTATGAAAAAAAATCTTACTGGTGACTGAGAAACATTCAGCTCGAATTGTTATAACCTTATATTAAAATCCCAGTTTTAATTTTTTTTATTTAAAACCTCCATACTTCTTTTGTCAAGTTTATTTTAATTAATATTTTTATTGAAATGTCACATGTTTATCAATAACTTCTTTATGTATGTATAAAATTTTATATAATTTCAATTTGTTGGCATACAAACTGTTCACTAATTCAAACATAATTAATTTCCGTAATATTTTCATAAATTTTGCCCTTTGCATAGAATCTTATTGTGATGCATTTAAAAGTGGCTTTATAGTTGGCCCCTTCGAATTAAATTCCATGTTCTTGTATTTTTGATCTCGAGTTACTCTGCAGTATTCATTTTAAATGTATTTCGGAGACCAAATAATCATTTTTCATTACCCTCCCTCTCCCATGAAAAATTAATTATACGTTTCACTTAGAAATAAATTTGTTCAACATACATTACGCAAATCTTTAATTATTTATTTAATTTACAAAGAATATCTCATGATTGTACAGCCCTGACTGCATAATAATTACAATTAGAATATGAAGGAAAATTTAGTTTCGATCAGACAAAAATTCAATTATTTTTTTAAAAAAGTAATTAAGACTTTATAAAAATGTTTTTGCTTTTATACCTTTGAAAGAACTTTTAATGAACACATGTCTTGTACGGTAAAAACAAAATTTAAGTGTTTTTTTAATCTCTCTAACATACATATTATGATTTCGCTAATACATAAATCTTATAATATATCTAAAAACGTTTTTCATACAGTCGGCTGCATGCTAGTGTCACGAATTTGCTTGTTTTCATTTATGTATTTTTTATTTATTTTGCAATATTTTAACCAGCGTTTCTCAGACTATGATTCTCGAAGCTTGTCCTTGTGGCCCTTCTATATTTGTAAAAATGTTCTGTTATTTTAAACAGAAATAGCGAAATTTTACATTTTACTTTCTGATGACATATGGCTGAATACATTTGTCTAACTTTGACATGTATTTTCAAAATTAAATGAACTAAAGATCTATTGTGTAAAGAATTAGTCTGATAGCGTTATAAAAACTAGGTGAATTATTTTCTGATTTATGGAAATCTTAATTTTATTTGATTCTGAATTATTTATTTTAAGGCTTTAATTTTGGGAAAAAACAGATGCTTCTGGGAATATTATTCAGTTTAAAAGAACATTATTTATTTTCTTTTATTTGCAAATTTTGTACAAGCTTTGATTCATTGTGAAAAGAAGCAGGGAAAGGGAAGCAATTTTTGCTAAGTCATGATTTCGGGCGCTTTGTCCTTTAGAATGTTCTAGAAGGAATTTCATTGTGTAGTTGACCTTAAGAGAGGAAGTACGTGACAGGAAGGTCAAAGGTTGCTACTTGACTTTCGATGTAAGTCATTCAGGTTTTTGGCGATTGAGGGTCCGGTTGTTGGCGAAGTGAAGAAGGGCGCGCATGCGCGATCACCCTTATTTCCGCATTCAGGGGTTGAAAACGCAAATTTTGCCAAAATTAAGGGGGGCGATAATTGAAGCCAAAGTGGGAGCCCGCGTTTGTGAAGGAGACGAAGAAAATTTGAGTTGAATCACTTACTGGCTTGCTGATCTTACTTTGTGGATGTTACCTTTGAAACTTGCTCTTGGGGTTGAGCAAGAGAAAACGATGTAATTTACGAAGAGAGATGTTTCCCGGCGGGGAGCGGCAAATATGCTCCCCGGCCGCGTTTTGGTTAAGACGCGAGGTTGAAGAGGTATGAATATTTGCCGAAAGATTTAAAGGCTTTACTCACTTACTCTTGGAAAGACTTTTTGGTGTCTTTTTTTTTTTTTTTTTTTTTTTTTTTTTTTTTTTTTTTTTTTTGTGCGAGACTTGGAGAGACTTACTGGCTGGCTGAACTTACTTGTGGACGTTACTCTTGAAAGCGATAGACAAGATGTAATTTACGACGAGAGATGTTTCCCGGCGGGGAGCGGCAAATATGCTCCCCGGCCGCGTTTTGGGTTAAGAGGCGAGATTGAAGAGGTATGAATATTTTCTGAAAGACTTAAGGACTTTACTCACTTACTCTTGGAAAGACTTTTTGGTGTGACACCTTTTTCGTGCGAGACTTGGAGAGACTTACTTGCTTGCTGAACTTACTTTTGGAGGTTACTCTTGAAACTTGCTTGAAAAAGATGTAATTTACGAAGAGAGATGCTTCCCTGCCGCGTTCTGGTTAAAAGGCGAAATTGAACGGGGCGGGTGACTTAAGACTTACTTTCAAGACCAGGCGGATAGCCGTGCTGGGCAGTAGTGCTCGTGTTTCTGTTTTCCAGAGTTAAAATAGCTTCGTCGTTATGAAAACCGACTTAAGACTTTCAAGACAGGCGGATAGCCGTGCTGGGCAGCAGTGCACCTGTTTTCTGTTTTCCAGAGTTAAAGTAGCTTCGTCGTTATGAAAACCAGTTACCTGCGTGTGTGTTTCGCCAATAGTGCCAGGATGACGATTTCTTCTGAAACTTCCATTTGTGACCGTAAAAATGAGCCCCGCCGACGTCAACGCTTATTAGGATACGAAACCTCCACTTCAAGACGTCCTGACCAGATAAGTCTATTTTTTGTGTTTGAACTTTAAGTAAGGTTTCAACGATTTCCTTGGAATGTAAAATAACAACGTCGAATCTTAATTTAATTCTCAGGCTTTCAATTGTTTCCCTTTCCCTTTTTAAATTACCAAGACAAACCTTAAAGTTTTTTTTTTATATATGAATTTAAATGAAAAAAAAAGTAAATAACAAATTGAAGAATTCCCCTTAGACTCTCTGATGAGGATAAGATTTTATTTTATTGGTGATGAATTCGAATAAACTGATATTTAATCTGGAAACCAATTTCAGTATGTTTCTTTATATATTTAATATGTTTTTCCTATATATCTTGTATATGTTTTCTTATGTTTACGATCCTCTCACGGCGCGGTCCCGGGATGCAATTTTTACAACGTAATGCATTAAAAATTCACTATACGATCACTAAAAGTTTGGTAATTAGCAAAAATTAAGAGTTTAGTTTCCTCCCTAAGAGGAAGTAGAAACCTTCCACGGCAAGTAGTTTCTTATTTAAGACTGGTACCGTGAAGTAAGCCTCATAACAGATCTGTCTACAAACTTCTGTCTGTCTGTTGACTGTTCTTATTGTCCTTCAGAAACTGAAGGCTTTTATGAAGAAACTTTTTTTACAATTTCCAACTTTTGAATCTTTTTTGGTAGGAAATTATGTCGTTGACACGGACTTAAAAACAAATACTATAACTCTTCTTCTATTAGTTTATTAACTGTAATAAGAAACTAAATGAGTTTTAATTAACTATATTTTTAAAATGTAAGTATACTGATAGCTGCATATACTAAAAAAGTGCTTTCTAAAGAGATAAAGGTGCTCAGCAGAGCACTTTAATTTATCTAAACGGTCCCCACTTTCAAAAATGTTTCAGAAACGCTGTTTTGTACCACATTAAAATAAAGACATGTGTCGTGTACATGATGAATATATAAAATTTCCTGTGATGTTTTTTTTCCAACCAAGAAAGCTTCAAACATTTAAATACGCTTTTTCTTGGTGGATTGATACCGCGAAACCATTATCTCGAAAGCAATTTGTGATATTGCTGCTATGTCAGTAACTCTTGTAATAGAATAATGTTTTTCTTCTCAGCCTAATGTTACATTAAAATTTATTTTGTATTATTCTCTTATGTAAAAAGCAATTTCAGTCTAAGATTAGTTGCAAATTCTTGATGAAATAATAATTGCATAACAAAATACAGCATTACTTGGTTTATACAAGAAACATTAACATTAAGTGAACATTAAGAAACATTAAGTGAATGCAAAACTTCTTCGTGCGTTTGATGCTCTTATTACATAAAATTTAGGCAGACTCGGCTGTGGACGCTTTCCTGCCTGGTGCAATCTCTTCAGCTCCTTTATGCTGTCAATCAATGTCTCCCAAAATCCGGCGAGACCGCACTAATTGCACCTTCTCTGGTTCCGACCTTGGATCTAGATATTAACACACTCCTAAATGTATTTTGTAATTAACAGAACACTCTCATTCTAACAATCTCCGCAACATCGAATATAATCAGATTACGTATAAGAGTAAGTATATTCTTATACTTAAGATATAATCAGATCATCATATTAGTAAGATTAAGTATATAATCAGATTATGATATTAAGTATAAGAAAACAACGTTCTTATAAGTATAGGCGCTATTTAATATATTAAAATCCGTATCAAAAATTAAATTTTCATCTCTGTATTTTTTTAACTTTTAGCCATCTTAGATATGTTTGACCAGTTAATTAATAAACGTTCAGAAGTAAACACATTTATATCAGTTAATCGAAAAAAAAAAACACAAATTATATAATTTTTATGATTAGTGCTATACATATAAGTAACTTCCTAAATGTATAAATTTATAGGAAAAGGAAACAGGTATGGTAGTAATAAAATATTACATCCTAATAATCTTCATTTTAAAGGTAACTGGTTAATAAAATGGCACACTTAAACGTATGTTAAAAGAAAAAATTTCAGTGCAATTGGAATTAGTGGAAGAAGTTGTGTTCCTGTCTCCCCTCCAAAATTTTGCTTAAATATTTATTTGCAGTTTATATTCTTTAAAAAGGAAAAAAGAAATATGTTCTAAACTGTGTCCTAATAATTTCCAAGGAATAAATATATTGAATATTTGGAATGAAGAACTATTCCATTATTTTTCGTTTAAAGTATCAGAAACAAAACTGATTAGGTTCGTAGCTAAAAGAATAATTTTCTGTATCTCTGCTTCGTTTTATTTTAAGTGCATTTAATTTTGTAATAAAATTTTCCCTATGAAATCCCTCAGTCGAGTGTCCAACCTATGACGAGAACTGTCAATCCTTCCGTCCGTCCATTGGTGTATATAGTGAACCCAAGTTTCCAACAGAAAGAGAAGACTGTGAGGAAGAAGAAAGCAACCGAGAGAAAAGGCGACAACATAAAGAACTCTTACAGAGATGGATGTGCCTCATTGAACCTTACTGGACAGGGTATTATTGCTTTCTTTCTTCCTAAGATTAGACACTTGAAAGATTATACTCATTATCTGCATCTAACCTTAGATCTTAGATTAAATGTTCCCAGTATTGGTTATTTTTACGCAAGATCTGGCACAAAAATCTCTTCTCTATGAAAAAGATATAACGAAGACAATAGGGGTGCACTAAAAATTTTTTGCAGAAGTGCAGACTACCAATTGGCATCTTCAATTTGGAATTTTTTATTATCCTTGTACTCGAGTCGCATATTAGTGCCTCGAACGCAAGGATAATAAACAATTCTAAGTCAGGATGTCATCTATTAGTGCAGAAAGCTATCACATAATGTAAGCGCTGGGCTCGCACTGGGACCGAAATGAATAAGTTTAATTTAAAGGTAATATATTTCTGCCGTGCTGTTTTCTTGCGAACCATATACAGCGTGATCTCTTTTAAAGTGACACTGTTTGGAGCGCCCTGTAGTGCGATCTAATAGCCGAAATTGCACCAAACTTGGTATTTAGACTAATTAAGACATGGCACATCAAGACATACAAACGTACAGTTAAATTATTGATGTTTATTTACTACATTAACTTCCCTGGTTAGGAATTAGACCACATTCAAAGTGAGCACCGTTCTGAGAAATAACACCGTGCATTCTGTGCACAACGTTCTCCACAGCCGTATGCAACATATCACGAGGAATATTCCGCACTGTCTTTGTTATATTGTCCTTTAGACAAATTTGATACTTCACCAACATAAACTTGAGTTGTCAAATAACCCCAGAGCCAAAAATAGCATGGCGTGAGGTCAGGGAAACGAGGCGGCTATGCAATTGGAAAACTGCGACTTTTGACTCTATCATCAGTGAAGTTTTGGCACAGCAGCTGCTTTACCTTATTACTAATGTGTAGCGGAGCACCATTCTGCATAAAGCTTGTCTGTTGGAGACGGTTTCTGTGCTAAAATTGTGGAATAACAAACTTTTGCAGCATTTCGTGTTACCTTTCTGCATTTATGGTGCACGTTTGGGGTCCTGTCGGAGTGATGGTCTCAAAAAAGAATGGCCCAATTACGAATTCGGCTGTGAAACCACACTAAACAGTGACTTTTGGGGAATTTAATGGGATTTCGTGAACGGTGTGGGGCTACTCAGAAGCCCAAATTCGGCTATTTTGTGTGTTTACGGACCCATTGAGATAAAAATGGCACTCATCTCCCCATAGAATGTGCCATGGGAAAGCATTATCAATTTCTACCCTGGCAAGAAACGATAGAGCGAATGTCACTCGCTTATCATAATCATTTGGTTTCAATTCGTGCAAGCGGCTGATTTTGTAGGGGTAAAATCCAATAACGCGCAGCTAAACTCTCCATAATTAATGTCCAATTGTCGAGCTACACCCCGGGCGCTGTTAGTACCAGCAATAGTTCCCTGCGATCCTTCGACTGTTGCAGTTGCCACATCAGTTATTACATCTTCTGATACTGGTTTACGTCCTCTCCCAGCGCGAAAGGTCAGTGATCCCCTTTCCTCGAACTTCTTAATCATTTTCTTAAGACCATTCAGCGATAAAGCCCTCTTTCGTAATTTTTTTTGGTTCGAAATTCCCGAAGAGCTGCGGATGCATTACATTGATTCATAAAAATACAGCTTCACCAGTAACCACACGTTCCGGTAACGTAAGAGGCATGTCCACTGGAGCTCGTTTACCTTCAGCTGAGATTATTTGACGGAGCTGTCTACTACTTGCTTTTATAGCCCTTATAACTGGCGCTGTCATCGCACAACATTTGCATTTTTCTTTGATACCCGTGTTTTATGCTAATTCTCGTTATTGTAAGCTACAGCAGCACCACAAAATGCCCTAGAGTCGATTTTTTGGAACTATTTTTTTTTCACATAATCTTTTTTCCTATGTCTTGATTAGTCTAAATACCAAGTTTGGTGCCATTTCGGCTATTAGATCGCGCTACAGGGCGCTTCAAACACTGTCACTTTAAAAAAGATCACCCTGTGTACTAAAAACTAATTCTGAAAATTCCATATAGTTCTTCTCGCCCTTTCTTCAGGTTTTTTTTATGTTCTCCGAATGCACCGGTTAGTTCTTTTACCTGTTCCGGAACTTAACATTCAAGAACTTCCTTTTCAAGTATCTCTAGTAGAACAAACCACAAAAGACGATGTCTGGCGGGTGTAACATACGTATATCGTGGGATACCTTCAAAGAGTTATATAAGATGCATTTTAAAAATTTCAGCCTCGGATATCTTTGCTTCGCAGCGTTACAAATGGCAAACAGTATCCCAATACCGAACTTCCTATGATTCAACATCCACTACTGACAAATGGCGCACCCTGCTCTTTCTGTTTGTGAAATGAACGTTTATGCTATATCTCAATTATCTTTATTATTTCTGTTTCACAGTAGAGGCTTTCGGCTAGAATTTGCACAATGAAATATTTATCTTCATGATTTGCATGAAGGATGTCGTAGAATATTGTTATATTTTGTCATTTAAAAATAATGCTTTGTATTCAAATGATTACTATTGACAATAAGCAATAATACACTCGATTCGACGCGCTTGTTTAGTGAAAATCTGCAATGTCGAACTAACTAAAGATTCAAAATGCTAAAACTGTCATTATCGTTTTATAAACCACAATTTGGATTAATCGAATTTGGTGCATATGAATATGTGTTCGATCACATAACTGAAGTAATACTTCATAAATTCCTAGTAGAACTGATATTTCTGTTACATTTTGTTAAATTTTATATTTTGCGAAACTTAGCACAACAGAATTTTTTAACAGTATTTCCCCTATTATTATTAAAATTTCTCATCGATGCCTCTGCCGGAATTCGAATTCCGCAGCTTCCGATACTAGCAAATTACACCTAATTACACCACGAAAGTCCGCTGTAAGGAAAGAACATAGTCTTTACAATCAAAGTTATTAAATTAAAATTGATTCTGTTGTTATATACAATTTATTATTAGATAATGATGCACAAAAGTTGTGTTACATTTTACGTGACACAGTATACTCTAGCAACACAATAGTTGTATCTCTATGTAAGATATAGGACATGTCAGTCTTGACTTAAATTTATAATATGTATTTATCATTATGTAGTAGTAATATATAATTTTTTATAATAAGGAGAAGCAGAATAAGAGCTCGTTTACCTTTCTTAATGCAAATATACATTGCAGTGAAAACTTTGAGTAGTTTTTGTTACACTTGCAGTTTTTACATCTCAGGTTACTGTAAAAATAAAAAGATGCATCAATAAAAAAGAAATACATTATTAAAACAAGAAAAAGGAGAGTAATAGAAAATTGAAATCGCAGTGTATACGGACAGGGATATGTTAACATGAAATATAACATCTTAACATGTCTCATGCTATGTGAGAATAATATAGTAGCCCACTGATAGCTGTTAACTTTGAAATGTCTCTCAGCTGAGTCATCGAACGGAAGCTAAGAACGGGAGATACATTTAATCGATAATCGAACGAATGCGCGTGTATGGATGTAGAATTTCACATACTATTATTATTTCCTCACGAAACTGTATAGCAATTAGCGATTCACTAGAGAATTTACAAATATTAGCGCCGCTGCTTGTTGCTACTATACACCTTTTTTTCCCTCCTTTCTACCATCAACAGCAGAGCAAGGTGCTCATCAGCTTATTGTGTCCCGTAGATGAAACAAACAAACTTTAATTAAGATACAATAACACGCCGAACAAATATTAATTTAGAAGTCAAACAACAAAAATCAGGGTTATATTTTCAAAGTTTCACAGGACTAGTTTCAATGGTTTTACCGAATCATCAGCCTCACCTGCAAAAGCGCAAATGAACGAGATAAGATATAATTATTAGATAAGATAAGAAAGCCTGGACAGGAGATAAGCTACTGGCGCCATTTGTTGATGAAACCAGAACTAAGACATAATTTCCTTAAAAGCTGAAGGTAAAGATGAATTGGAATTAGGGTCGTTAACAAGAACAGAAAGATTTTTTTAATGTGAAATGCCTTTAGAAAATCTATTTCACCAATGGAAGATGTTTTTTCAGTAATTTTGGCAGCAGAAAAATTGAAACTGTGATTTTCGGACCAACAATGTTGGGCAGCAGAAGACTTCTGCGTTTCATTTTTCTAACATATGCCTCATGTTCCTTAACGTGAAATTTTAAGACTCTCTTAGCTTAGGCCCACCAGCGGCCGAGCAGTAAAGTCGCTGAACACTGGTAGTTCGGTCCGAGGTTCGAATCCCGCGAACGGGCTGGCTGCATGGGTGTTTTCGTGGTTTCCCCATGTGTAACGTGTATACGAGCCAGTTTCCATTAGAAAGTCATCCACGAAGGCATCCCTCCCCTTAGGCAGATAGCCCTAGTGTGCTTCGCCATAATTAAATATACCATACCATACCTCTCTTAGCTTGGCCATTGTAAATTAAGCCACACTGGCAAAGAATGCTGTAAATGCCCCAGGAATTCATATCCGGAATGGGATCCTTGAGTATGGAACTCGGAATTTTATTGATGGGCGAATAAACGACCCGAAAATTAAGTTTCTGCAAAATACGTGCAACTTTATAGCTAATTGATGGGAAGGAGGTAATCACAACAGAATTTTTATAATCTCCTAAAACAAGAGTGTGCCTTTTGGTGTGTTGAGATGAGAATTTTTTAATTGCTTGATTAATAATGTTGGGTGAAAAGCCCCTGTCAATAGCTATTGCTTTTAAATAATTTAGTTCCTCATCAAGGGACAATTTGGAGGAGCAAACTTGAAGAGCACGGAAAACATAGGAATAAAATGAAGTTAACTTTCGTTTAGTCGGATGACATGATTTGAAGTGTGGTGGAAGGCAAACCGATAAAAGTTTACGGTAAACCGTAGTACTGAAGTTGGATGTGACAGCTATTATGATGGCTTATCTTGAGTACCCGAAGTTTTCTGCTGTTGCAAAGGAGCATTATAACATTGTCTGGTACAACATGCATACAGTTATAATGCGCATCAACAGCTATACACTTAATTTTTTAAAACAAAAGATGCTGTAGGTATTCAATTTACTAACAGCTTTGCAAATTTTCAGCAAGTTCTGGTAATGCAATGTCTATTTAAGGTACTTTGCACTGTATACTATATGTTGGCGCTTGCAAATACAATGAGGGCTGGATGTAGATACACGTACAGATATAAAGATAAAATAAGTACAAATATTTATGCATTACAATGTGTGAAGCAAGAATTATTTATTAAATTAGGTTATACAAGAATGTACACATAGTCATGCTGCAGCTACAATATGCAAACACAAATGGCGAGTTATATATAATAAATCGCCTCATCTTTAATAATCATTATCCAGGATGTATGTCGTAAGGTATGGATCTAGGGTCTTGCCATAATAAAATCGCCAAGAACTTTTTATAATATTTCAGTTAAAATGACCTCACTTTACTGATTTAGGATTCAGTTTTAATACTCTTAATGCAGTTCAGCGGGCTGTTTACTTTAGAAAGTAAGAGGATGACACAAAAATATATTCTTCTTGCATATGGCACACGTTTCTGAAACTTATTATCTACACTTTTACGGTGTACTAATCTTTCTATAGAAACAAAAATCAGATTTCAAATACAAAACTAATGCTTTTCTGTCTCTGATCTATAATGCCTTGTACTTTGCCGTTGGAAAAGAATCATAGGAGATGGATGTAATTCTTTGGCATCAATAGACAAACGAGGTTAGGCTGTTTTCATCGCTGACGTCACTTAGACACTAAAAAGCAGTCTTTGCCAAAGAATATTAATTTTAATTCTTTGGTCCCTGCTGGGTTTTACCTGAACTAACTTAGTCGGTTTCATGTGTCGCCTAGGACCGCTATACGTGAAGTTGAGATGTTTCAACTGAAGAAAACTGTTCTTCTCGGCACCGTGGAGCTATGTCAGCTGTGCCAGATGTCACCATTAGCTCAGATAAACCTTAGCGTGAATGGCTCTTTAGGAAGTAGTTGCTTCTGTGCAGACTAGGAATCAGTGACTTCACTATAAGAGCAAACTTTGGGGTATAGTAACTTTGTCCACTTCCATGTCTTCTGGAACCTATATGATCATTTAACTCCAAAGTTTTTGAATGATGTTACTATGTATATTAAGCTTTTTAGCCACACTGACTCATGTTTAATCTTCTAGTATTCCCACAGCTTTTCAATGCATTTCAAACTGAATTGTACTAATTGTTTATAATCTGGTCATTTAACGTCTTATGCGACGTTGAAGCTTAGTCGTTAAACATAAGTGAGGACAACTAGCTTTTGAAAATCCTACATTTCAATTAGTTTACTACAGTTTACATTAATTTCTTTCAGGATTTCATATTTTCTACTGTATTTACAAATTCTATGTTTTAATTTAAAATATTGAATTAGCTACAGCAATGTTCCGTCATTTGTTGCTAAGTGTTCTTTCATTATTTCAGATAAATTTTCTGATTTTAACGTTGTGAGTATCACACATATGAACAATATTATCAACATAAAACGCTTCCTTCTGGTCAATTATTTACAAAGGGATTGTATTCAGAACAATGTTTTAGAATTTTCACTCCTTTAATGAAATAAAAATTTCCCACTGTGATGTAACAATGAGTGTTATTTCTCGAATTTGACGCGAAATCCTATCTAGTAAGAATGAAGTATTAAAAAAATAAAGAACTCATAAAGTAAATGTTTCCTTTCATCAGCATTCATAAACTGTTACCTTCTAAAATCCATCTGTTTCTGTCTCAGAATAATGACATGTTAGACCAGGAATTCCGTGATAAAAAGTCATTAGAAGCGAATTGGCAAATGTTCGCTATTCATGAAACAAGAACTTCACAGAAGAGGAATTTGTTACTTAGTACCATATTAAGATAATTATTGATTCTTTTCGTGATAAAATAAACTTTCCTTATAAAATGCGTCTTTCCTTTAAGTGGACAGTTCTTGACTTTTGAAAGGTTTGAGTATTTGCTTTCCGTTAAGCATTACACAACCCTACAATTTTAAAATAAAGGAATGTTTTTAGAATATTCAGTTTACGATGTTTTAAGATTCAATATAAGGAAAAGCTACGATTTGATTTCTTTTCATTTTGTTTTTACAGGGAGACCATCGAAAGTGACGTCGATGCTGAATTCGAAGGGTCAGATCTCGTTGAGGGTCTCCTCCTAAAGCAAGAAATGTCTGAGGCTGAATGCGACTGGGACAGAAACGAATGTTACTGATGCTGACGTATCACATCAGCATTGGAATAATTAGCCAGCTAACTCCAGCATTCGTAAGCTGAGTGAAAAGAGATCCAAATCCGAGCTACAACAGGAAAGAATGTGAAACCGGTGCTGAAATATGCCAAAAATGACTTGAAAAGTTCGAGCAAGAACAACAAAACAAACTATTTCATAAGAATTAAAACGCGCAATACCAGGAATGAAAACTTCTTCGTGACGCAATTTTTTCGCAAACAGTACGATTAGAAAGTACTTCTGGTGATTCAATTGAAAAACAAAATCTACAACAACTCTGGGTATTGCAAAAAAAAATGTTTTATATTTTTAATTCAAATAAGTTACAAAAATAGAAATTATTTTAATTTGCTGAGTTGATTTCCTCAAAATAAAATGTTGGCGGTGTTGTATAAAGTATGTTTAGGTATTTTATAAAAAGAGAATTTATTACAGTGTTCTACAAGTTCTGCAATTAAATCTAAATGCAGATGATTGAATAATTAGAATTAATTTCCCTGACTGAGCGTTGATAAATTGATTCCAGTCATAAAAACTATTAAAAAATGCTGCAGATAATTAAAGAATAAATTTTGGACTAAAACATACTTTGAGCTGTAATGTTTTAATTATAATGTTCACTTTAAACAATTTAAACAGAGTTCAGTAAAAAGAATGTGTTGTACTGAAGACATTTACGTTGAGATGTGTCTTTCAAACGCGCCACGAGTTTGAATGTAGCGAAAAACTGTCTTTTGTTCCTGGTCAATTGCGCATCTTGGGTAACTGAGAACAGTTAAACTGGACATGATTCTTTTGAAAGTAAAGGGAAACTAACTTTTTGGACACTCCCTGAAATCGACATGCCGATATTTGTTTCAGAATCTGTCGATTACTTCGACGAGATTCGATACTACTGTGATTATTATGCTATCATTAAATTTGAATTCATGTATATCAAAGACGGGATTATGTGCTGTGTAAATAAATACGTTTACTTATTGTTAACAGTTTAATATAAAAATGTTGTAACTGTTGCTATCTCTGTGTGAGAAGATGAATAAACCCTCCAATGGTCGATGACTGGATCAAGAAATGTGTACTGCTTTCTTAATAATCTCAATTTCAAATTTTTTTTTCTCAGTCTCAAGATCGTCATCATGACAGATAAAAGAAAAGAACAGGTAAGTAATAGAAACTTCTTCCAACAATAGATAGAGATTTGATTACAAAAATCCATTCTGAGTGTAATAGATTCTATGACATGTATAATCTCAAGATTAGGAATTGCCTTGCTCCCGAGACATTATGCTTGCTTTGCAACTTGGTCTGTTGCCGAATGCTCGTGTTGCTATCTATTAACAAAAATGAAAAATGTGGAGTCACAAATTCCGTATGTTCTTCAAACGACCTTGGGGTTCAACCGTGGATCTACTTCGTGTCAGTTTAACGTCTTAGCACTATCGCAAAAGTGCACCCGTGCGATAGTTTCAGATATTCGCGGCGCGAGGATCTGATTGACCTTTGAAATCTTTTATACTCTTTCCGAAATTACGCGACTAATCGTTGTGACTCAGCTCTCAGCGTGTGTGAGCATGTTTGCGAACCTAATGCATTCATGTGATAGATCACTGCTTTAGCGTTCTGCGGCTGCAGTACACAGGCATGCCTAGTTGGCATTTTATCACTGTGTAGGCACTGTAGCACCATTGTAGCACTATGAGGCTGGCGTCATGGCGCGTGTAAGTTATTTACCCCGTAGGCGGAGGTGTGTGATCTTGTCACATTCGAGGTCTTTCGCTTTATCGACACTGAAGCGTTATGCTTGCTTTGTCACTCAATCTGTTGCCGCGTGGTCGAGTCGTCATATATAAACACAAACAGCAAATACGGTGTCACAAGTTTCCTATGCTCTTGAAGATAATATACAATAATGGGGTAGGATAATTTCACATATTTCAGCTATTTCGCGATGCGTCTGAATGGTTTCTGCTATCATTACACACTGCCCTCCGAGTAGCACCGAGTTTTTTTAATATGATAGGAGGTTACGTGACTAATCGTTGTGATTGAGCCCTTGTAGTGAGTCATGTGCGTTCATTTCATTGATTATTATGTTCATGCGCTGCGGCGCTAGTGAGTGGGTGTGCCTAGTTTGCCCCCTTGTTGCACTATGGGGCGTGAAGCCATAGCTCACGTAACATAGTCTGTCATTTACCCCCAGGTGGGCGGAGATGCGTATTCTTATCATGTTCCAGATCTTTCACTGTGGCCACCCTGATACGCTATGCTTTCCTCCGGTGGTCAATTTGAAGCAGTCCCGGCGTTCTGGCTAGGTCAGTATCTAGACAGACTCGACTTCTGGGGGAAAATTAACAGGCTTCACAGTAAGTAGAACCGTTGTTTATTTTGCGTTACGCTCAGGCTTGGCATGGACCATATGGAACTGCCTATTCTGCCCCTTGGTTGTGAGAATGTTGCATAGTCGAACGCTGCAGGGTGCTTGGGAGTTTGGCTCCCCTTGGTCAACACTGAAGGACGGTCGGTATCGAACTATATTCTAAGCTTTTCGGTGGATGCCAGCCATCCACCACTGTCATTGTGTTACAAATACGCAGACTTTGTGAAACAAAAATCGTCTTCCTGGGTTGATCGGGGGGATTATGCATCCTTGAAAGGCCTTTAAGTGTTGGGCCATCGAGCCAGCCATGCCTGATTGCTCCTTCCCTCCTAGTGTACTGATACGCTATGCTGGCTTTGTGACTTGGTCTGCTACCATGTGCCGTCTGTTAGTACAAATGGAAGGTGTAGCGTTAGGAGTTTCCTATGTCTTTCAAGATGGTAAACGACCTTCGGTTCAATCATAAATCTGCTTCGTGTCAGTTTAACTCCTTACCGCTATCAAAAAACAGCATCCATGTGAAATTTAGGATATTAGAACTGTTTCGTAATGCGAGGCTCTGATTGACCCTCGGGATGGTTAAAATACAAAAACTCACATTACAGTTGATTAAATTTCCCTACTATGCACAATGAAAAGATTATATTTAAAATAAATCCTAAACAATCTCTAACCACAGCATTATCTACATCAAATATTTCTCTTCCTAGAGTGCTTTAATCTTCAATTCAGTTGCAAATAAAGAATTATGCATTGTATTTTTTTATCAAGAAGAACAATTTAATTCCGAATAAAATATGGTCTAATGTAGCTTAGATCAATTTAAGATGCATTTTAGATCAATTGAATATAACTTAAATCAAATATGATGGTCTAATGTACTTTTTATTTATTCTACTAGCTAAAAGGTTTGTTATTAGAATGCTATATATAACGTTATATAACAAGATATATATCTACATTTCAGATAAAAGAACACATATTTAAAATACATGTAGCATTTTAATGTTGTAGGTATTTTAATTTTACCGAATGCTGCATGTAATGTAAAAGGTTTTCTGTATACTTTTATTTACTAGCACAGTAATGTATTTTTTAAAGAAATAAATAAACAAGCATTTTAATACACAACAAAGTTTTCGCACACTATATAGTAAGCCAATATATTCTAAATGCAGTGATAAAATTTTGTGTATTTTGAAGAAATGGCTTCGTTAATATTATGATTTTTTGGTATTTATTTTCATTCCTTATTGTTTGGAGGTTTCATTCTAGTTACTGGGCTCTTCCAGTGGTTCATGGATGTGACAGAATGTTACAGTTAATCCTTATTTAAAGTGATGGATAATCACGTTTCCACTATATAACACTCACAAAGAAAAACAATTTTACCTTTCCTAGAATAAACTTTCAATTCACTGATATACTAAAGTAATGTAAATTCAAATTTTGTTCTATCTGTATCCACTTTCCATTTTTAAAACTTCAATGTTACACACTAAGAGTAATTCATCACAATTTTTTTTTCGCTGCCCAACTGTTATAGCGGTTAGTGACTCTGACTGCCGTACCGAAGGGCCCGGGTTTGAATCTCGGAGAAGGCACGGATGTTTGTAAATGTATACTGTCTGTACAGCATGGAGGCCATTTAAACGTGCGGCGAGCCGACAGTCCTCCCGAAAAGCAAGAGGAATAGAAGACTCTCGGACTGTCCCTCCCCCAGTGTGCTGTTCGTCAAAAATTGGAGTGGGACTGGGCTAAAGTCGGTCAGTCACCTATGTGCTGCTCAAGTCTCATGCCATGATAAGCGCATTTGACTTTTTTCCACGATGAATGTCGTGGGTTTGTGCTGACCATTGTCAGGGAAATCGAGATTGCTAACAATATGTTATCCGATATTATCAGACCTTTCACATTACCTTCATAAAACTATGCTTCATGAAGAACCAAGACTAAAACTATGCTTTAGTCTTAGTTTTAGTGTCTCTATATTTGTTATATCATTTTTTATAATCTTTTATAAAATTCTTGTCACAATAATGCCATCTAAGTGTATTAGGCTAAAACTTTCTCAAATAAATAAGGCTAAATTTTGCTGACGTTTCTCAGGAACATGTACGGTTTTTACTTCCACGCCAATAAGCTATTCCTTTACCAACTTTACTTTCTAAGATTGATGCTGTCAGTAATGAAATTTCCAAAAAGTTAAAATTTTCTACTTGTGTTTTCCAAAACAAATAACTTTGCCAAAAGTCACGAACTCTTTACGTTTAAGAAAGATCCAGCTTTCTTTAGCTTTATTTGGAAACAGTTGAGGAAAATTAGTTGTTGTTAATGAATATTCAATTTTAACGCTTTTAGAAGAAAGGGGCGAAGATCATTTGTTAAAATTAATCTTGCAGCTAAATTTCCTGAGGCAATGAACAAAACGCTATCTACCAAGCGTAACTTAACAGAAGACTCTATCTATTGACACTCTCGTTTCAAGTATTGCACTTTTGGTTTACTTATTAAATAATAAAAATTTCCATTTTGCTAATAAGTTGAGTGTCTTGTGAAACAACAATATTGTAGGATATCACGTCAATTTATCTTATGAAAAAGTTAAATAATTTTAAAAAGTATGTTTTATTACCAATCAAGCAGACAGAAATGTATCATAAATTATTTTATTAAAAAACTACTTTATCACCACATTTTTATTTACAGATATCCCAATAAAAAAGGTGTTCAAAAATAAATAGAATATTTAAAAAGTTACACGTTACATTTAAAAACACACATGAAATTTTTACATTTCCTGGTCACATACATACGATGTGTTTCGAACACATTCAAGAAATGGCAGTTACGTAATTCGATTAATGGTGCATGAACACCATGTCTATTACTACATATGTAATAGACTGCTACATGTGTTATTAAAACAATTTGTCTATCTTTTGCATAAACCTGATTAGGCTACATAGTATATAAAGAATATATAAATGTTTAGTTTTACAACTCTGTAAAATTAAATTTTTGTTTATAATTATATATTATAAATAAAATATTTATCGCTTTATAAAAGCAAAGTCATGATAAAAATATTTTCCTTTATTGTGATTACCAATTATAAACAATATAATTTGAATATTTCATTTAAAATTCACTAATACATTATGATTCTAGGTTTCAAAATACAAAATAGAAAATGCATAGATATACCACGAACAATTATAAAACTGAATTTTTAAATGGCTGTAGTAGATATTAGATTATTTTTTCGTGTTGAATATTTGGAGAATAATTTGGCATACTCTTCGAGGTAAATCGTATTTTAGGTCATTTTATATCATGGTGGTTCCCAGCTGATGTCCATCTGTACATCGTATTTGCTGATATAATAGTATAAAATAGAATATAATACTATCATAATAGAAATATTAGATTAATAGGTAGAAGAAGCAGTTAAAGTATAGAAATTAACATGTAAAATTGAATTAAACATAATTCCAATTGTTATTAAGAAGCTGCCAGCATTGTTTATTTTAATAGCAGTTTAAATTCAGGCAAACCTATTTAATCGCTTAGATAAATTAAATTATTTTTATTTATACTTTAAAAAGTTCGACTTTAAAAATGGCAACATAGAAAAGTTAGTTTTAGACTATGCGATATCATTTATCATAGCGGTTCTTCATTTTGTCATTTCTGTCTATCCTGCATATATCTGAAGTTATGCAACAGAATCCATAATCTTGTCACGCACGAGATCTCCATTTTATTAAATTTCTTCAAGTTGCATTTGAAATTCATTGCAAGTTGAATGATATTTATATGAAAAAAATGCATGAGTGACAGTATTGTGCATAATGGTTCCAGAAGATTTAAAAACAAATGGTAGAATGGAACTTTGGGAAGAATTTTGTCGCAACTAACTTTCCCTCTAAAATTCTTCCCAGACCTTTTCATACGCAGTAAATTCTGTCTTTATCTGACAATATCAAATTACGAATTTTCTAAATATCTCATATCGTCTGTATATAGTAAACCAATGCATTTAAATATCAAAATATAATAACATATAAGTATTAAAATATATTAAAAAAGAACAATTTTAATACAATAGCATAAATAATTAAAACAATAACTTTGTTGATCAAAACTTACATTTGCTTAAGCCATTTCATAATCCAGAACTAACTTAAATTTAAATAAATTAATAATAAATAAAGCTAATTAAAACTGTTTTAAGTCGAGAGATACATTAACTCACAGAATCAAATCGATATGAATCTAGCACATATATATATATATATATATATATATATACAGATAGAAAGAGAAAGAGAGGGCGAAAGGATACATAGATAGAGATAGAGATATAAGACAGATACCAAGATAGATAGAGAGAAAGAGAGAGAAAAGCAGATAAATTGATAGATGCATAGATAGAGTGATAGAGATAAATAGATGAATAGATAGTTAGATAATTGTTACATTGATTGCTTAATTAACTATAGCAAAATATTCGATTATTTATATGCGCTTATATATATATATATATATATATGCACATCACGTATCCTAAACATCGAAAGAATTTATAACCGCGTGAAACCTAACTGAGATTAAAGACAACTTCTTTGAAACTTTTTGATGTGATAATATTAAAAAAATACAGGAATTTAGGCAATTTGATCTTGTTTTGTGTCTTACTAGTAAAAGAATTCAGTTTACAATAAATAATGACCAGTTCATAAGTTATGTTGCCATTTGCAGTGACATTTAATCAATGACACACAATCCGAAAGCAAATTAAATCGTCCTGAACTGAAGCATAAGATGCGCATAAATTACGATTTTAAAAATTTACTTCGTGATTTGTATTTTTAACAATTATTCTTGGCAGGAATGCTTGAAAAAAGATTTTATGTACTGTACATCACACATAAATATATGGTCAAGAAACATTCACATAATATTGATTTTTTTCTATGGTACATATTCTGAGTCAAATAAATACAAGATATTTCCGATTTATGATACTTATTTTCTTCTTCTTGTTTTAACTTTCGGAATGGAGCATATAACTTAAATATGACACGCTAACAACTACGAACTAAAATTCGATCTTCAGGATGAAATAAAACTCTTGTCTAAAAATAATAAAACTGGCTGTAATCACCCGTAGGCAAACTTCGAAAATAATTGTTTTCTGTTAAACAGTGACTAAGTAATTAAATGCTAATATTTCTTTAGCATTTGCTCTTCACAAAGGCAACTGAGTGAGATCGGTTCATTTTGTTGTACTGTAGAAATCTTAAAACTCTTCAGCTTTATTTTTCAGTAATTGCAAACTAATTTTCTAAGCGAAGTTTATTATCACGTGGACCTGTAAAGCAGGATGGTCAAATCTTTGTAAGCCATTCTGACATAGCACTGTTTAGAATGCGTCACACAGCTACCCCAGTTCCTTCCCACAATGCAGTGCCATGTCGGGTGATACATTTGATCGAAGTCTTGCTTGATGCTTTCAGCTATGTGTTTTTCGGTGCTGTAAACTTTTAGGGCTTGAGTAGCGCTAAATACGGCGGAACGTTGCATCTCTAATGGCATGTCCGCAGCTTGGATCTTCAGCTCTGCGGGTTCTTCGTCATATGAAGTAGATGCTGTGATTGAACCCACTCTGTCTCCGCGAAATGGTGCTGCAGGTCTTTTAGGCGTGGCACTGTAGATATAAAAAAAATGTCATTATGATATAATTCTTTAAGTATTTCATATGTTCTACTTATGTATATATGGATATTATAAACAATTCCAGAATATGTTTAAAGGTTATAACAAAGTTAATCTTTTTACCGGGTTTGACTGCTATGGTGCACTGCTTTTCACTTGGTTACAATGTGCAATACATGATTATAAGAGCATATATAGTTTTTTAACCTGAAGCTTAAACTAACTTACATATACAATATCTGTCATTCAGTTTTCAAACATTTGTTGTGGTATTATTGATTTTGATATTGCTTAATGTATTTGAGTTAGAGGAACCAGATCTCGAAATCCTCAAGTATCAATGCCGAATGAAATTAAAACTTAGTATCAAAATCTGCAGGAATTAAAAATTAACAGCTGGAATATGCGTAACGGAAATAAAAGCGTGTTTTTAGAGTTTCAGAAGTCTGCTAGAACCTTCTTCTGTCGATGCAAATAAGAAAATGAAAGGAAATGAAAAATGTTTCTTCATAAGTTACATTTATATTTTAGACTATTTATTACGTTATAGAATGAACTGAAATTTTTTAAAACCAGGAAATATGTCTGTACAAGTATGTCCTCGCCAGAATTCGAACCTTGAGCATTCCAATTACGCAACGCAGGTATCCTCGAGGTGACAAATATCGTTCACCACATTTCAGTTTACTTTTAGAAAGATTTCATTATTTAGTTAAACTGTCCTTAATAACTGACAAATAATTTGTAAGTAACATTTAAGCGGTAAGAGTAGAACTATAAATGAGTAAACTATACTAACTGTAAGTATAAATGAAACAACACGTATATTTGTATCAGAAACATTAAAGAAACTAATATTTATATTAAAATTTGAATATTATTTTTCCCCTGGAGGTTTTGCGTAATAAACATAAAATACACTTTTTATGTAGTTTGCTATTGCTGTAGCTCGACGTACACACTATAAAAAATACAAACGATAAAGTATTTACATAGGAACAAAAACCACAAAAAGGGCAGTATATTTATGAAGTTTTGCTTAAAGGAAATTAAAAGTATTTTGATAATTTCCAAAACAATTTAGGCTGCAATATTTCAAATCTGTTAAAATTATATAAGCTGCTAAGCTTTGCACAAGTAAGATCCATTCAGAGTTGCGTTTTCCTTCACAGAAATTACGAAATATAATATATCAAAAACATATGTAAAACAATTTACAAGCTGCTTAAAAAAATAACAAGCTATTTTACTATATTTCATTTAAAAAATTTCAAATAAAAAATCCTGATATTTATCACGATGAATACAATCATTCTGAATTTAAAAAAAAAAAAATTAAATAAGTAAACAAAGGAGAAAAAAACATATGAGTTTTACTTACTTACTTTACATTACTGTTTTATTTATTTTATTTTGTTACTTACAAAATTAAATAACCTCATTACCAGCAGTAAAAAATATAAGACTAATAGAGAACGTGAATATCAACTAGTTGTTTTACTGATGCCAATATACAGTTTTGACTTCTACAATTTACAATTATGATATAAGTAAGGAAGGCATAAAAATCAACACTGATTTTCGATGTACTAGTAAGATCAGGTTTCTGCTGATAAAAGCAGTGAAATCATTAAAGGCCAATGCAAATTAATATACAGATCATGTGATTTCAGTTTGGATTGTACTGGTAGAAGCAAAATTCTATTGATAACAGAAAAAAATTAAAAGATTACATCAATTATTAAATGTAAGTCAATAAAAACCAATAAGCACATGTTCATCAGTAGGAACTTTACTGATTTCTACGGGCACTTTCAACAGAGTAAACCACATAATATCTTTATATATCATCATTGCTTTATTTTACTTTACTAACCATCATATTCAAGCGCATAATGTGCTTAAAGCAGGAGAATCAGTTATTACATATTTACAAAATTGTTATTCCTTGCAATATAAAAATGTGTCTTAGATTTAACTAAATGAAAAAAAAAGAAAGTTTACTATTTTAATTGTCAAAAAATAACAGGCATTTTAAAAACGAGAAGCTTAAAAAATGTGTAGCGTCCTCCCCAGAATTTGAACCACGGAACTGGTAGCAGGATGAGCTAAACATAAACTATATTGCAAAGACGTGCAGAGAGTGATAATTTCTTATACTGCCATTTTATATGAGTATTTATAAAATTAAAGCAGCAATCAATTTGATCCACAATCATTCTAACTTTGAAATTCATTGCCGCGACAGTACTAAAGTATGTAGCCAGCAAGGATGGCATATACGAGTAATTATGTGTTTGGAGAATCTTTAAAGAAAGAAGCTACAAGGGATTACTCATATATATTTCTGAAGATTAAGATCCCAACATACGGTCATCTCGCAGCCCATTGAACGATCAAGTAATACTACAAAGGAACATAATTATTCATCAACTCCCCCCCCCAATTTGACACTTTTATTATAATTCAAGAAATGAAAACTCTGCAAGCAAGTAAAAATTTATTCTTTCTTTCTAAAACATCCTTTATGTACATAGTATATTACATTGCATTATATATTTAACTGTTCAAAATATATGTATGTATGGAATGTTTAACCATTATGATACGTTAATATCTGAAAGTTATTAACGCATGTATTCAGCGTTTATCCTTTTGAACTGTCCATATTACCGATCAAACAGCGAAACTGTACAGTTACACAGGAAATCTTCAGAAATGACTTTTGGAAATTTGTCTTTATTGAAATGACATTTTTTCGCAGCTGGCAATAAAGTATTTTATGATAATGCTACTGATAAGAAAGTATCGAAATCCGGATATCTAAGCAAATTATTTCAAAATGAGAAAAAAGTCCTATATAAGAAAAATAAAATACTATATTCCGGAAAAAGGCATAAAGACTTACTTGTAAAAATGTCACGATCTCACAAATTTTCACTAAGAAGCCCCATCTCAACATTTGATAAAATTAATATTACCTTTAATCCTACTCCTACCATTTCTTTAAAAATTTTTATATTCAATAAAAAATCCCCTCTTTTACTGACTTTTTATTTTATCTAAAATTCCTAGAAAATAAAGAGAAACTTTCAGCTGATCCGACCGTAAAAACAGAATGATTTCCCAATCTGCGGAATCAGTAATACTAGCGAAATCTTCAAGCATTTATTTTTCTTAACTTTCAAGTTATTTATATCTTAATAGTAAAGTTTCAGTGTATATTGTTTTATCAACTAAAATTTGCATTAAATAGAAATAACTTATCATAATAATTACTAATACGCACAGATTGTTAATATATATAATACTTACTATTTTCCCATAATAGATTTTGGTCCATAGTCGTCAAGAATTTTAAGTCTCTCTATTCTTGACGAAGTCTCTGATTCTCCTGTCACTTGCTCTAATAAATAAATAAATAAATAAATTATCATAATAGAAGTAATTAAAATTTATAACAGGGGTACAAGAAATAAATAACACTTACTATGCTCATAGAGATCGAGACTTCCATTTTTGGCTTTTTTATAATATGAAAATACACAAACTACACTATACACCTAATAAAAGAACAAGACAAAGTTTCAAAATTTTAGAAGATATTATATCAAAATTTGTACAAATAAAGTTTCTTAATTATATTTAAACACAACTCAGAACAACACAAAATAAGTTATCATCAAACAATACTACAAGTTTGAGAAAGCTTAAACAAGTTATGATTCTTCTGGAGTTTCTACAAAAGCAATTTCCTATGTTTAATAAATGTTTGGGGCAAAACTAATCGCAAGTTCACAAAAATAACTACGTGATACATTTGAAAAACACTGTATCGGAGATAAATTTAAATAACCAGAAGAAAAGTGTTCATAAAACCTGATCTCAGGGTAATTTTTGCAGTTTGATTAATACATGGATAAAATAATTCTGCATCACAAATATTCACAAATAACACACATATATTCATATATTCAACATCACAAAATTATCCTAATGTATGCTCAAAATAATAATAAAACATAATTGCATAAATCTTAACATCAAGAAGGTTGTCAAACTTTCTACTTATAGTAATCACGTATAAATAACCTCTTCCAAACTTAATGGGCAAAAGAAAAAAAAAAAAATATAATGCTTCTTAGTTAAGTAATCCTAGATCAATGACTTATCCTGAAGTTTCAATTCAAAAATTAAACTTAAAAATAATAAATACATTTTTAAACAATTTTATCAAATTTACTGGACTTATTTTCCTTTGATAAATGTCAAATCTTGAAACAGTTTTGAATTTAATAATTAAAGTTCTTTAATTGATATTACGATGCGGAAAGACAGTAACCAGTATTCAGTTCTATGTGTACTTTTCTCTTGATTACATTTACACAGAAATAAATAAATTTAAAAAAAAAAAAAAAAATTAAGACATTTAATTACCCTTGAATATCAACTTTACGAGGATCAAGGAATGACTTGTGCTGCCATCTAGGTACAGCAGCAAATACTGAAACTATTGGCGTAACAAAATCAGAGAAAAGTAGAATTTCATAAGATAAGTAATGCAAGCTCATAATTATGATTGCATATGTGTGTCTCTAAATTAAAAGTGCCTCTTCTGGTTCTTTATTAGTCGAATAACTTGCTTTTTTTAAACGTTCTTCTGTTAAAATTACCTAAAAATATTTGATCGATATTAGGCTATTTTTATGGCCAAAAGCTAAAAATTGTAGTACTTATCTTTAATTTAAAAATTTAAAAAATACAACACTAAAAAATTAGTAGCAAATAGCATGATATGTAATCACATAAAAGAAGTATACAGCAATAATAGAAATTCTATAAAATGAAATGCACACTCCTAAGGGGAAAAAAAAAAATTTTTTTCCCAAGAACCATTTTCATGTAGTGCTGCCATCTAGTAGTTATAAAATAAAATATTATTAACTTTCTTGAATGTCAATTTTTCAATTTGGTTGTGAAATATTATTAACTGTTACACAATGTATAAACTACATGATAACTTTATTATACTATTTCTTAATTTTCTTATGTTCTTGTATATTATACTACAAAAAAATTTAATCATATGTTTTATATTTATATGATTTTATATTTCAAAGATGAAATGAGCTGTCAGTTATTCAAGAAAATATATATACTAAGTCCATGAAAGTCCTTATACGGCTTTTATTTTCAAAACCGTCGGTTTTAGATAAAATTGTCAAATCTGTAATTTTTTGTGATGAGCTTATGTATATAATGAATTCTTAATTTTATCACTTCAAACATGTATTTAGTCAACTGAGAAAAGGAAATCCAACTACATGGGTTTTTCAAATATCCAGATAGGCTGTAATCGCAGTTAGTTTTGATATCTGAAATTATGTTCTATAATCTTTACTTTTTGAACTATAATTAATTACTTTTACACTCTTTTAAATATAGTTAAATTATATGAAATATAATTTTGTATTTGAAATATAATTAACTATTGATATCTGGAGTTCTGTTCTGTTCTGTGACCTATAATTTTTGTTCCCTTTTCCAGAATTTACAGATAGGAGAATCACTGTATTTAAAATATAATTAACTATTTAGATCTTAACAGTATGAGAAAGACAAAAAATAAAGTCTATTACTACATTCCTTTACCATATTAATACTTCAAATTTTTTGATTTTCTATCAGAACCGTATTATTTCTTGCGAAGGAGCAAATTGCTTAAATTTTACTCGTTTTCTAGAATTAAATCAAATTGTTTGAATTTTTATTATTTATTAACTTAAATGCACGTATAGTTTTAAAATTTTCTTCTATTTTCATACTAACTTCAAAATATTATAAATTCAATTTAACTTCAAAATATTATATGCCTTAACTTAAGAACATTTCAATACACCTGGATACATACACTGATGAGATTACATTCAAAGGCAAAACGTAATTAATTCCGCCCGTATCGTATTAATTTACTTGAGCGCTCACCACGTTAAAAAAATTTTAAATTTCATTTCATTAAAAGCAAATTACTAGCTGTGTTCTCCATTTTATAACAAAGAAAATTTTACATGAGCAATGCATCATTATTCTGAGAACTATTTTTTTAATAAATTACGTCAAAGCCTACGAGAGGGTTTCTGCCTAATAGAATAATGCCTTAATTGCCTTGATGGAGCCTATTATAATGGAAACGACTTAAATTCAAGTTCCAATGGGAAAACATATGACCTCCCAGAAAGAAAAAAAAATCATGCACTCAGCCAGTTTAACGGGTCAAAACCGGCTTGAACTATACCTATGTTAAGCAATCTGAACTACTCCTCTTTTGGTGGGTTTGAGCAAAAACTGGAAAAAAAATTATGCTCAACTCTATTCTGCTAGTAAGTATGAAAGCTTTCTTGAAACTTTAAGCGAATGAGATAAATGTGCTGAACAAACGCAATTTTATATTTGACATATGTAATTTTCAGTGTCTAGAAATACGTTTAAAGGTTATTATAGGTTTTAGAAAAATCAGTTTCGCAAAACCATGTTCAGAAAATACAGTTTTATATATTACATATACATATATGTTTTTATACGCAGAAATACATATAAGAGCTATAATGATTTTAAGAAGAGTCATTTTTAGAAAAACTAATCTTGAACAAACTTCATTAAGTTATTACGCAGAAATACATATAAGAGCTATAATGATTTTAAGAAGAGTCATTTTTAGAAAAACTAATCTTGAACAAACTTCATTAAGTTATTAGATAGATTCGTCTGATTTGTCATTCAGATTTTGCACAGAAATTCAAATTTAAAAACAAAGGCCTTGTTCATTTTCAAATTTTTAACGATGAAAACCAAAACGCAAAACTTAAATGCAAGGCGTTAAGAGATATCTTAAGTGTAAAGTTATATGCCATCAAAAAAATTCGTAAGTTTCATGTGATAATAAATATGGTAATTTAAAAATATTGTTTAATTTTTGTTTTCCAGAAATATTAAGTCACGTGTATGTATTTTAATTTTCAATAATCTTCTCGACTTTCGACAATGTTTATTTGGCTCACCAGCGATCGAGCGGTAAAGTCGCTGAACATTGGTAGTTCGGTAAGAGGTTCGAATACCGCAGCCTGAAACCGTTCGAAACAGGCTGGTTTCGTGGTTTTCCCCATGTGTAACATGTATATGAGCCAATTTCCCTTAGAAAGTCTTCCACGAAGGCATCCTTCCTCTTACGCATATAGCCTTCGAAGGCTTTGCCGTAATCACATAAACCAAACCAAACGATAATGTTTATTTAATAGCGGTCGATAGATAAAAAAATACGAACAACAGAATTTGCGATTTGTACAGAAGACATCATAAAACCATAGGAACTAAGTTTTAGAGATATATACTCAAAAATCTGAAAAAAAAACCACTTATCCGGAAACGGTACGATCTCGTCGCTATCGGTTAAAAGGAATTCTACTGTATGTGTTTAACGACAAGAAAAAATCTAATTAAAAGAATATTGATTACTAATATAGTTTTCTTTCACACTTCTAATGAGTCATTTCACTCTTCTAATGATTATTTCCGCGATGCTCAAATAAAAGATTGGTTTCCAAATGTCGTGCGTAGCATTCCAGATAGCTTATTTAAAAAATTATTCATATATTACCATTAATAGTAAGATACAACAGTTCATTGTAGTAGTAATTATAATAGTAATAATAATATAATCATCCAAACGAGTAGATGGTTATTATAAGCATAATTCAAAACTAAAACATAATTATTGAAGAAACAGATGTATGTTTCGAAATTCCATGCCTATTTTACGCATATTTATACACATTTTTTATAAAATTCCTAAAACTGAAACACTAAAAAAACGATACTTACCCTTAGCCCTGTTAAGAAGCCAACTACTATAATGACCAGAATATCAATGCTTCCACAACTAGACTAAAATGAAAATAAAATAATTTACAGAAATTATTTTAGACGTTGAAAATTAATTAAATTAAACGAAATTTTGTTTCAACTATCACAAGATTCATCTAATGGAAAAAATAATATTTTTTCTCAAGCCCAAGTTACAGTTGTATAAAATTTAAATATTGATTCCAGAAAAACGGTGTGTATTTTTGTCATTATTTATAAGAAAATCCAGTGCTGAAAGAATAAAACAGCTTTTATTATACTACCTGCTTTAAATGTACTAATAGGGCTTGTCCTTAGGAGGTCATGAGCATTATCATGTTAAAAATTACATTATAAGCAAAATCTGAAACATTTTAGAACCCTTATTCTCTTACAATGCAAAACTGCTGTGGTAAAAACTGTGTAAGTATATTAGTTTAAAAGTATTGTTAAACTTATTTAAGCTCCAATCACATACAGTTTTTACCATCTATGAGATAATAACATTACAAGAGATTTAGTATGTGATGTTTGTATCACGTAAGAAATAAATAAGCTACAAGCAACACAATAACATGCATTTTATAAATAAACAACAAGGATAAAAACTGTAGAATTACATTACCTTTCATTGACAAAAAAAGAATTTCTGGCAACGTCTAAAAAGGTTGTTTTTTTTTTAACCCTTATACCGAAATGAGGAAAACTTATCCTGTAATATGTGTGCAATATAATTTATGCATATATTACTATGCAAAGAAACATTCCAGCTATTTATCTTTTCTACCTTCCCTCCTTTCCATTTCCTGCAAGAATGATATTTCAGTTTCGTATGTTATGCAAAATAGGGTTTTAAGCTATCTTTGCAGTTTCGGCTGATTATTTAACTCAGTTTTCATTATATAGGTATTTCTATTCTGAGTTGCACCTAAAGGTATCGGCTAAGTTTATAAGCACTAGGAGTGCCATCTTGTCATGGATACAATTTAATTCAATAAATACTGTTCGCAGTTCAAGTAAAGAACTAGCCAGCAAAGTAAAGTTAATTTAGCTATAATCTTAAACAATCTGAAGGTAATTATGCATTAATTATGTTACTAAGTTATATGAATATAATGATGGAACAATATCATGCCTAAAAGTTGCCCTCCAAACCATAGTAACTGAATAACAACAAAAATCTATCTGAATAACTTTTTAAATAGAAAAGATAATTTCATTTGCTAAACTATTTTTCATCAAATAATGGCGCTTATGTATGCAACCATCTTAGTAAAAGCACCAAATTTTGACTACTATGCTCATAATAGCTCTTTAAGTAACCATATCCACTGCAAGTTTCAAAAAGTATATGTAATTTAATTACAGTTGTTTTTCTCTTTGTGATATTTTATTTCGATACGTATAAGTAAACATTCAAAATATTTTTCGGAGATATTGCAAATTAGATCATAGTTAAATTTTTTATTCACTAAAGTGAAGGAGCTATTGAATACATGCAAATGGCCTTAATGCAGTCTAAGACAGCAGGAAGATTACGAAATGTTACTCGTAATATTATCTACCACCTGCCAAAGTAGGTTTAAATAAGCATTTATAGTAAGAGTATCAGAGCTAGATTTGTTGTGAACATGTTATACTCCTTCCACAAACTGTTTACTGATTCTATAAAAAGAAATAACGCAAACGAGTTTCAGTTTCAATATGTTCATTTTATATCAACCGTGAAAAAAAACAGCAAGTGCATTAAATAAAATAATATTACGAAATTTTAGTCATAATATTATCCACCAACTGTCGAATCAGTTTTAGATAAGCGTTTATAATAGGAAGATCAGGGCTAGATCGTTGTGAATATCTTCCTTCACAAACTGTTTATTGAAACTAGGGAAAAAAATACACAAATGAATTTCAATTTTAATGTGTTCATTTTATATCAAGCGTGAAAAAAAATCTGCCTCCTCCATGCATGCAGCATCATCCCTATTTTACGCATTTGAGCAAGTTTGCGCTGATAGATTTACAGCCTCGCATTTAAACTAGCAACTGAAGTAAAGAATATTTTTGATATATTCTATAATGATAAGAACTCTCCTTATAAATACAGCAGTTTCCAAGATATTCATAAATTTATTTATCTTTCCCCTCTTTATAATATTTATTCCCATTTTAATCTCCCTAAAGGAATCCCCTCCGTCCATTTTTGTTTTACTGTGAATTTACAAGCCATTTCAAAATACTTGTTTGAACTTCTATGTCTTATTTTAATTATAAATTTGTAGATTATTTTCGCATTTTCGAAATATTTTATCAAAATTTTAGTACACTCTTCTTAGTTATTTTTTAGGTCATTTTCTTAACATTTTTTAACGTAACTTATCTGCTTTTATGAAAAATTATGTGAATTTTCTTTACTAAAATAGTAAAATAGCTGGAAAATTATTAAAAGAAAATTTTGCCCTCTAAGGCTTCCATTGTATTTTTAGTCTTGGACTACACCACATATTAATAACAATAGGTCATATATAAATGGCATGAGCTACATCACACATTAATGGCTTTGGGTAACATGATACATTAGATATGATAACAAGAGTTCAAACTATTTATCTCTCGTTTTTTTCTAACTGCTCTGCAAATAATGAAGGAATGCATTAAATTTTGCAAAATTGCATGAAATTTCGATCACTAAGAAATATTTTCTTACCTGAATAGTAAATAACCTTAACGCTGCATAAGCAGCAAGTTGATCGAATTCCAATGAAGGTATGGGTTTTCTCATTTCTTGAGGAAAAACATGATCTTTACGAATGTACTAAAAAACAAGATAAAAACAATTAATTTTTAATATTTATTAAATGTCTCCAATGTGATTTTCAGCACTTACAATTTTCAAAAAAATTACAGCAAAATTCCAAAATAAATGATGGAATCTTTTCAGAAAATAAAACTAAGGATGTTCCTTTTAACAAAAATGTCTGCCAGCAAATATGTTATGAATTTCAACTTAGTTTTCAAGTTAGTTATTTGTTTCAAAACGTAATTAATAGTGGCAAATATAAAATAAATGCTCTTTTAAAAATGTGTATAGTTACAGATTTTAGCTTGTATCTATAATACTGGCAAAAATAAATGCACTTTCAAAAATATGCATAAATACAACTGTTACAATTACATTTTTATTTATATATTTACAAAACAATACAGTATTTCATAAGGACCGCACTAATAAAAGGTTATGCAGAACTGCGTTCAGACAGAAATTTTTAGCTTAGTTTTGAACGATTCCATATTTAAGGCTTAATGGAATTCCATATGAAATTATCTATAAATATGTTAATAGTGCTTCAGTATTATATGTATCATAAATTTTAAGACAATATTTAATCTTCAGATCTAAATAAGGATCTAAAATTGTGTTCCAGAACTCACACATTTTTATTAACAACTCATATGTTCGTTATTCAATCTAACTCTTCCTTGCTTTATAGAATAAAATTCTCTTGAAGGGCAGATACCTTTAAAATGTCAAAATATGACAAAACATTTTGAAGCTCAATATTTTTATAGCTAATTAATTCATGACCATGAAATTTGTACTTATTTTGACATCCTAGATGTACTTGAATATTTTTAACTTTATGTTCCCGATATTAAAGTATTTTAAATTAAGTACTATCTTTGGTAATAACATAAAGTTGTATTACATACTGCGCACAGCATTATGAATAAACAAATCATTATTTTTAGCCATTTTATTTTTCAAACTTGAAAATATATAATTCAAACAACCTACTTGAACATTTTAAGTTATATTTTCTTAATTAATAATATTTCTTGAGACTCTAAAATCGAATATTTTTTAACTTAAAAATGAAAGGTAATTTCTAAATTTTTACACGAGAAACATAATAGTTGGTTTCACACATAGGTTTGATAGAAGTGGATAAACATTACTGAAATTTTGAAATTCAACAAATTCAATGTAGTAAAGTTTATAATTCTGTTTGAAGAAAAGGAATTTTTGCAGAGCAACAAAATTAAACGTTTTATATCGTGAAATTAACAAGAAAATGCATTACAGTATAATTACCAGATATTCAATTCGTTAAAATTATTGAATTTTCCTAAGAATATTATCTAATGAAGAGCAGGCAACAAATGCCTTAAAAATTTCTGAAAATTTGTAAAAGTTCCGAGCCTTTGCATACGATAAGCAGATTCCGAAGAATTTCTTAAAAAATAGAAGAGACAGTACTTCGTACGCAGTTATTATAAATGAGTCCACAATACGCAAATTAACATGTAATTAATTTCATTCCATGTGCAAGTGCTAAATAAAACATTCTTTTGCATTTTGATTATATTTTATTACCAGTTTTCATACTGCTTTAATACTTTAAAAATGAATTTCACTGCCATTAATATAAGCTTTATGTAGATAACGAATTCAAAATTTGACTACTTCATAAAGAAATATTAAAACTTTTCTAAACTTATAGCATAAAATATATATTAGAAAATACATTAAGATCTAAATTCAATGATCACCTTTTAATTCCGAGTTTACTAAAAGGTTAAAAATTAGCAATGTAATTTAAATTAATTCGAAAACAGACATTGCAATGGATTTTTGAATTCATACATAATTTAAAGAAGCAAGTGGAAAATGAAGTAAATGGTTCAATACAAAAAATATTCTTCATCAAATTTCAGTATCATATTTCCTATTCAAATTTCATTAGATAATTATGCAAATTTCAGATTTTATATGTTTTATTGTTTAGCTTCATTAAAATATCAAACAGTTTTTACACATACCATGATTATGCGAAGAAGTATGAAACCCGTACTTGCTGCAACATCCACTGCGGCAAATACTGCTAAAAGAAGAACCGTCCGTAGAGACACGCCTCCCTGTAAAATTCACAAACAGATGTTTAAAATGTATAAAAAAAGATTTAAATATTATATTCAATAATAACAATACACAGCTACAAACAAAAGATTTGCAAGAAAATGCTTGAATAGGCTGAAGTACTGGAATAAGTTAATCAAGCATTAAAATTCCAATTATTGTAGATGATTAAGAAATGCTCAAGTCATGAAATATTTCTCGTAAAATAGTTTAGGAGGTAATTACTTAAAAAACCTAATTACTTAATAAACGAAAAATACGAATTACGTACGAAAATACGTCCTACCTACTTAAAAAGGTATCAACCATGCAATAATGCAATAAAATTAAAATTTTCTTTTCTGAATGCCTGCCAAAAATATCGCGGCCGAAACAACACAGACAAAAACATCGTGGAGGGAAAAATGCAAAGAGAAAAAGACCGTTATATAAAACTTCGGAGTATAAAAGAAATAGGCAAAGGGAAAAGTTCGCTGTTCTTAAAACATTGCCCTATAACAAAAAGAAAAATCGTTGATCATAAAAAAAACATTCTGGTAGAATATAAAATGGTGACAAAATTTTGCGATTTGAAAACATAGTCGTACAGAAAGTTGTACTAAAACAACTATGCGGCTATAAAAAAGCGAATGACAGATGTGATGTGATGTGATGTATTTAATTATGGCAAAGCACACTAGGGCTATCTGCCTAATGGGAGGGATGCCTTTCGTGGAGGACTTTCTAAGGGAAACTGGCTCGTATACACGTTACACATGGCGAAAACCACGAAAACGCCCATGCAGCCAGCCCGTTCGCGGGATTCGAACCTCAGACCGAACTACCAGTGTTCAGCGACTTTACCGCTCGGCCGCTGGTGGGCCCGCGAATGACAGAAATATCGCAGAAACATATATATGCATTTTATGCGTGTAGCATGTTCAGAATTCTTAAACATACTTTTCCCAAGCACAATAATTTTTGGATGATTAACAGAACAATAATTTCCTCTTTTACTATTCATGAATCCATCATAACTTTGCCTTAGGATATGAAAATGATGATTTCAAGCTAATGATGTACAATACAAATAAACAGGGAGGTTAAAAGATTATGATGAGTAATTTCGATCGGCATATTGAACAACATCTAAAATTTATTGCAAGGAAAAAAACGCAACATATATTTTCTAGCCGATTAAAATATGGCCCACCAGCGTCCGAGCGGTAAAGTCACTGAACATTGGTAGTTCGGTGTGAGGTTCGAGTTCGTTAGTGAAGTCTCTCAGAGGAGATACCAGGACTATCACTTCTGACAGTAACCGGAATTTCTGAAGAAATAAATTAACATCTTTACTAAGCATAATCTTCCCAAAAGAACCACCTCCACAGGAGACTAAAATCATCTGAAACCGTGAATAGTCATCTTACGGAGGGTTCCCTGCGCTCAAAATAATTCTAAAAATATTTCATGGAATCCTCAACGCCTTAGACGCATAAAATGAATATTTCCGCTATATTCTTCTTATTCGATGTTTTGTAGCTGTTTTATTTCTTACCATGATGAAAGTACAGTGATGTTCACAAAACGCGAAATTTTTTCACCTGTTTACTTTCTACAATGATGTTTTGCACTGCGATATTTTATAACTGCGAAGTTTTCCCGTTGCTTTTACACGTTCGTATTAAGATGTTTTTGTTGCATATTTACTCCGCGATGTTTTTGTCCGTTATTTTTTTTTTTTTTTTTTTTTTTTTTTTTGCCACAGTGCATTTGCATAATTTGAAATTTATTGCCGCCCTTCTTATATTTTATATATCTTCTTTAAATATAGATCTCGCTCACCATACATTTCGGCAACAATTAAAAAGTTGAGACACAATTTATCTAATTTCGACGAAAAAGATCATATATGTATCTGCTGCTTCAGCCCACTGAAGACTTAACTGAAAACATTAAGAACAATATTAAAACTAAAATTTTCTGTAAATTGTATTAATTTTTAATAACTCTAAAAAATGTTTCATGGAATAGTTTAAAATGCTCTGTGGCAAAAACATAACGGACCAAAAACATCGCGGAGGAAATAAGCACCGAAAAACATATTAATACAATTGTGTAAAGCAAGAAGAAATCTTCGCAGTTATAAAATATCGAGGGGCAAAACATCATCGTAGAAAGCAAACATTTAAGATGCAACTTATATAATTTCGAAAAAAAAAAATCACATACGGTATTTTCTGCTTCAGCCAACTGAAGATTTAACTGAAAACGTTTAAGAACAGTAGTAAACCTTAATATTTTCTGTCAATTGTATTAATTTTTAATAACTTTTTTAAATGTTTCTGATTAGAAATTTTTAACATTTTTTTTTTTATTTGTGTAATACTTTATATTTCGGTTATTAGACATGTGTAGTTCAATTTTTTAAATAACTTTTTTTCAGGAAGAAGCTGACATCCTTTTACTCATTTTGTAGTGTAAATATGCATATTTCGTCCCACTCCATTTCATTTAAATTTTTTAAAACAAAAATCAAGGAAATATTCAAATAATTATTATAAAATTAGAAATTCCTTATAAAAATTTTGATAATTACTTAGATATAATAACTGAATACATAAGCGATGTATTAAATTATTATGTGTGGTGTAAATATTTTCAATTTAGAATGTGCAAATTAAATAAGAAAATAGCGAAAAGGAAAAACGCTGAAATATAGCACAATATTTTATATCATAATAATCATATTTTTCTCTAAATACTTTTACTAATAGAACTGAGGATATAAAAGAAATTTACATAATAATAACTGTAACTGAATTCACTTATTAAACTCTTAACATTAAGAAAATTATAAGGTTGAATGTTTGCAAATTAAATACTTACGTCTGCCCTGGCTTGTTTGATAGCAAATGCCATCCACCACCAACTGAGAATAAAAATGCCTACGAAAACTATGCTGAGGATCAGTGTCATCCGGGCTGCGTCCAATTCCCCTGTACAACAAAATGATAAAGAAATCACTTTGAGAATAAAATTATTAAATCAAACAGTATTTTAAGTGCATAATTTTTTATTGCCTTAAAAGAAGATTGAAAGAAGACTTATTATTAAATTTTTGCAGATGTTTGTCAATCTATTTATTTAATTATAGTAATAAGTCCACATTTATCGTATTTTCTGTTTTTTTCCTAACTTTTTAGCGGTAGGTTCTGAAAATTTTAAAAATATTCGCATTTTTCATGTACATAGTATTGCCCTCTGAAGGCAAGTATATTGGCATATTGTACTCCCATGATTATTTTTATTTTCATTCAGTGTATTCAATTTGTATTTGCATTTTTATTACCATTTATCCAAATTTTTTTTTTTTTTTTTTTTTTTTTTTTTTTTTGAAGCATTTATTGTTTGAAGTGTATTTTGCTCAGATAGATTCTTCGTTAAGCTACCCGGACATAGAAGTGTTCTTACACTTAAAAAACTTTCCAAATATGTCATTTTACCTTATTTCTTATTACTCACGTCCCACCTCATTGCAGTTCTATCTGTTGCTGATGTGTTCGATCTTTCGAAATCTGGGTCTTTTGTTCACTCCTTGCACTTTCGTTCATCTGTTTCATTCATGTGAGGTGCTACTAATTCTTTGCAAGTTAATTAAACCGGATACGTTGTGCTGTCTCAGTCATGATCAGATATCGGCTCAATATCCGTCTGTTATTATAATGTTAATTTCCCCTTCCTCTACCCCCCCGAGGGTCGACGTAGAGAATTCTGCGAAGCTACTGGCTAGGATCTGTACCTAGGCAGTCTCGGCCACGGGGGTATAAAATTTATGAACTTGGTGGTTCTGAAGGCTCTGGGAAAGGTCACTTATTGGCCGGCCCCGGAGTCTGGCACGTCCTAGCGCGACGTGGTACTAGTAACCCGGGGGTCTCCCCCGGGGTCGCTGGGTAATGTCCCGCTGCGACGGGCTCGCCCAAGCGACTGGTAGGAGCATTAGACGACCGGTGCTGCTTCGGGTACTTCCCCAGGTGGTGCGCTGCTCTCCTGGAGGGTAATAGTGGAGGTTGAACCACCACGATGTGCCCAAGGGGGTAGTGGACCCGAAATGAGATTGAGTTCTCGATACGGGGAATGCCCAAATCTTCTTCTTCTTCCCCTTCCTCTATTAAATAAATTTTAATAAAATATAAATATAAGGTAAGATAGCTTTCCTCGCAAAGTGCAGGTTTAGGGTTATAAGAAAATGGCAAAGGAAGGCAGGGTTGCCATATTTGGCGAGAAATCGCCCATTTGGCGACAAAATTGAGGATATGCCATAGACAGATGGAGAACATTCTAGAACGAATTATTTCCGGTTTGGACCAGAATGGTCTCGAAGGCAGCCCAAACGCCATATAAAGCGGAGTAAAAGCCTGCCAACGCGGAGTGAGTCAGGTTCAGTGATTCGAACGTCATCTCGAAGTCTATTCAGTTGATCGCAAATTAGTGCCTCGTCGAGTTTTATCTTGAGTGTGTTGAGCTCCGAGAATGACCGAACCGAGTCGGGAGCTGTGGTGCTTTGCCGTGAAGCTGCCTTCACCGTTGTAAGCCTGATAGACTGAAGGTTGTGTCGCTAATTATTTCAGCGTGCTAATCATACTTTTCGAAGACTGTAAACGTGTTTTTGGAACTTTCCTGAGTAATACTGGCTAAATAAAATTGTGTCTAATTCTCCATCAAGTGTTATCGTCAATCACTCTTAATCCATGAACCCGTACAGAATGTAACAATACACAGTTTTCCCCTCTGAGGGCAAGTGTTGTTGGAATGTCGTCTTATACATAGTCCTTATATAGTCTATATAGCCTATGTAGTATCTGTGCAACCTCTATGTAGTCTTAGTAGAATGCAGGTTTCGTTTAAATAAATAATGTTGTGATAGTTACCAGTATTTTATCCATGGCTACATTTTATTTGCCATATTCTTACTGTAACCTAGTTCTTCGGAAATTAAATTACTGGCATAATTTTCCCCTCTCAATTTTCTTTAGATAGAATTAGTAAAAAAAAAGGGGGGAGAAACTACGCCAGAAAAATATGGTATTTTCAATTTTTGAAGTCTCGGTTGTTTAGAAAAACACTCTTGTAATCAATAGTTCTCATTTTTTTTTTTAATATTCTTAGACATATTTTACCACTGACGTTTATTTTATAACTTCAAAGCCTTTTAAACTACTCATCAGAAACTCGAACATAACTTTCTCATCTTAAATTCTACAGACGATGCGTTTTTGTTTCCGCAAATCTCTTTATTGGCTAAACCAAAAAGACATACAATGACATAAATGCATTTAATTAGATACTGCCAAAAAAGATTTTGTATAAGGTCATAAATCATAATAAAGTGCATTATTAAATTCATAATAAATAAATATAAATGAATAAAATTTAACTTGCAATAGCTTTTATTTGTTAAACATGAAACGTAATTTTAAAAGTAATGCGTAATTTAAGCAATGCGTAACACATTTAATTATACCAGATATCGTTATTCCATGTGTTAAAATGAAATAAGAGACAAAATTTTAAAATGGTATTAATACATGTCAATTGTGTGTATTCGAAAAGACTAATAAGAAGTATTTTAACGTAGTACTAGAAAATATAAATAACATATGTGAAACTAGTGGATGATAATGGGTAATTAAAATTCTGTGGAAGAACCTCATGGTGCTAATGATGAAATATCAAGTGTACAAATTCTTGATAATAATGAAACGATGGAATAGGAAGTAAGTGAACTCCCCTTTAGCGGAGAGTTCCCTTTGCTTCCGCACATCCAGAATACGATATTTTAAAAATACGATACGATAACTTTGGATTCAAAAATAAGTTTTTTAACAAGCATCATCTCCCAGTGACCAACATACATGTTTTGTCTTACAAATCCAAAAGCAGAAGTATTCATACTTCACTACGAAATACGGCATATTGCCATCAGTGTTTTAGAAGTTGTTCGTAAAATGCTTAAATGTTTAATAAAAACACAATTTTTTTCTCTCTTTAATATTCCTTTCTTCATGATTTACACCCGAAATTCCAAAAACAATTACAAGCCAATATGTAGCCCATTTTATAGCACTTTGTCTGAATCTGATAAGACTTCATTTAGAATTTTTGAATATTTAGCGATCTTCTTTAACGGGAAAAGAATCTTCTTTATTTTCAGATTATGAAGAATACAATGTTTTAGTTTTCATCTGTATGCAGTGCCGTTTCATTAATATACTACTTAAGTAATAAAACAATTCTTTAACACTGTAACTAATAAACTGACATTTGAGAAAGCTAGTAAAATAAATAACATTTATGAAGATTGATATTACAATGGGAAACGTGAAAATGGAGAATTCATGAGTATTTAATTTTATACAAAATTTTGAAATCAAGGACATTGAAATTTTCGAAACAAAATAAATTTCAGATTTAATAAACTACTACTCTGCATTCCATCTGTTCAGAGAAGAAGAGTAATCAATAATGTTTTCACTCGAAACCATAAAATTAAATTAATAACTAAATATGTTTATATAATCAAAATAGATTTTTTCTGACGCTGGGAAATTAAATAAACGAAGAATATACGTTATTTTAACATTTTGATGATAAATGTCTGCATTCTTTAATCCCTATCATAGATAATTAAACCTCAATAAAATTCTCAAATATCTTTTGGAAATATTGTATAATTAGCGCTTCTTCATACATGAAATCGGAGTATAAACTTTTGTAACTTCAGTTAGAGTAAACACTAGAACATTGGTTTTTATACTGCTGATGGTTTTCATTAAAAATTAAACTGTGTATGTGTGTTGTACTTCTAAAACTACTAATTAAAATACAGATGATTAGAGTTTACTAAGATCGCAAAAAACTCTGTTAACCGATAGTGGCTAGACGATTTAGAAAGACGTAGATAATAAAGCACTGTACGAAGAGAAAGATTTTCTCAAATTAAACAGGAATAAATTTATAATTGCAGAAAATACAAATAACATTTATGAAGTTCTAGATTTCAAACCTGTAGATGATAAAAGTTAATAAAAATTCTGTGGAAGAGCCTCGTGATACTAATGATGAAGTATCAAGTGTACTAATTCTTGATAATTATGAATCCATGGAAAAAGAAGTAAGTGAGGTCTAGAGATCCTTTCCCTTCGCCCCATCCAGAATGCGATATTTTAAAAATTATGTAATTTTGGATCCTAAAATAAGTTTTCCAAGAAGAAGAAGAATCTGTCAAGGACCAAGACACATATTTTCTCTTCCAAACTGAGAAACAGAATCACTCACACTTCGGTGAGACAAACAGCAGGTTGTCCTCAAAGTGTTGTAGACGTGTTCGTAAAATGCTTAAATGTTAAATAGATGCAGAATTTTTTATATATATATAATATTCTATTCATGATTAATACGCAATAAACTCCAAAAATTGCGAGTCCATGTATAGCACATTTTTACACCACTTTGTCTGAATTTGTTAAGATTTCATTTAGAATTTATGACTATTTAGCGATCTTCTTTAATATCAAACTATATTTCAAATCTGCAATACGATGCTTTTCCTATCTGACCCACATAATCCTCCCTAAAGAAATAAAAGCTTTAGATAGAGGAAGGAACTGAACTCACGAGAATAAAGATTCCGCCATTATTATTAAAAAACAAATATAAACATGATTTTAGACACTAGTGAAATCAAGCGTAAAAGTAATCCCCCAGAACTCCACTAACCAACTACCATTAAAGAAAAGTGTGTTCACTCTATCGTGGGTTGTAGGTCATCATCACTTACGATAGAAATACCGGACATCTTCCCTAAAAGCGAGGAGCGTCCTCTGTGCTTGTTCTGTGAGCATAGGAGGTTTTTGCCTCTGCCCTGCAGCGGTAGCTCCCGAGCCTCTGGTAGGCATTGCGTTTGAGATGGCTGCGACCATGGGGTGTGGCACACTTTCCCGGAACCATGTGTTGAGGATGACTTGAAGGAAACTGGCCTCTTTGTCCACCTGATGCAAGCGGCTTCCGAGTATAATGAGGGCGACAAAAGACAACCCCTAAACAGAAAAATTAACAAAACGAATATCAGCACTTGTTTATGTATTTTTTGATGTCAACAACATCACCTTAAAACAAATAAACATTCTCTTAGTCAATGAAAAATTTAATTTTAATAAAACTACTGCACTCTTAAAAAATTGCTTTTAAATCTAAGCATGAAAAGAGAAATTTGCGATAACGACATTCCGTATAATGCATTAGATGAGCACGAAGTTTAAATTTAATGTTATAAGATGCATTTTACAATAATTTTTCGGTACATGCAGAAAACTTTAACGCAACGCAACTCAACAGGCGTAACATACGCCCGTTCTTCAGCAATTTCATATATGCTTTCACATATTTACAACAATGTAACTGGAGTAAAGAAATGAGACAGAGATCGATACTTCAGAAGCAAAGAAACGCTAGAGAAGAAAGCGAAGATTATGATATGGATGATATATTAAAAGCGGGAAGCTATTTTTCATGGCTATGCTTATTATTATTAGCTAATTGCTAATCTTTTCTTGCAGATTTATCATCACTACCAATGCTTTTGCTTGCAAATGTATCATCAATATTGGGTCAAAGATTTTATATTCACTTTTACTGTAATATAAGTGCATATGTGTTTTTAAGCAATGTTTAATTTTTCTACAAATAGTTTTGAATTAACATGCATAAAAGCGAAGGTGTCGCGGGACAATTACTCGAGTATTTTATCAATTTTACTGCATAAATTGCTTTTCACTCAAAATTTGCATTACCGAAAGTGCTTAATTCAGAACGAGTTATTTGGTACTCTACTTTGGTTCTAAATACCTTCACTTCACGGAAATATTTGGCCTAACTTAATTTTCCTGTTTGGCATCACCATTATTACTTGAGTAAAATACGAAACACCTTCGTATTTATTTATTAATTATTGTTCATTGAACGGGAGTTTGTTTGTTCCCCTTGAAAAGTCAACTAATTTCCGATCAATAGCAATAATTATTTCCTTTTAATTTAATTTCTTTTTCAAAGTTTGAAATTTTGTTATTCGTGATTTACTTCAAGTCTCCGTAAAACATTTTTAACAATTTACATTCAAGTTACTTTAAAACAATTTTCATAATTAAAATTCCTACCCATGGGTTCACTCTTTTTAGATATTTCTGCTAAAATTAATATTAGGAGATAATATAATCAATATTTCTTTAGTATATATATATATATATATAATATCAAATAAAAATTTGTGCTGCATAAGATTAACAATACATGGAATAAGAGTACATACATTTAATATTTCTGATCGGGTACTTCAGGAGATTTATGTGAAAAAAGTAAAGAATATTTGATCGCAACTACATATACTAACATTTTAGGTTCTCATAGAAATATATGGGACTGGAAATAAGAATAAATTACTACAAGTACAGAGTTCTATTTTTATGCAGACACTCAAAATTAAAAATTTATCTATGCCATATTAGGCAACAGCGTAACCTCATTTTTATTATAACGATAAATGAAATTCGATAAAAGTGCATTTACGTCACAGTTATGCCTTTTTTACGGTAATCAAAAATAAACTGCTCTAGAAGCAAAACCTATCATCTGCGAAACCTATAGAGAAGACTTTACAGCCAGTGTTTCTGAGAAAATATTTAGACGTCAATTAACAAACTGGAATAAAGAAGGCAGAATTTGAGAGTGATGAATTACAAAAACATCTTAGAGAAGCTCGACTCTTATGTTGAAAAACTTAAACAATTAACAAGTATGGTTTTTATAGATAATTGTAAACAATCTTTGAAGAATTAATGAAGTAATGCACGTAAGTTTCTAAGAACTCAGAGCAACACATGATATACCAAATGCAATTATGCCGTCATTTCTAATAAACTAATTATCTTTAAACAATTCCGTAACATTTAGTGATTTATTTCCCAGTCTATCTCTATAGAAATGAAATGGCATGTAAAAAGCATAATTCATAGTGTAAGAAAAGCAGGTATATAACCTATTTCTATGCTACTCTTTAATAATAAATAGGATATTACAGTTTAAACTATTGAAATAGCTACTGAGTCTAGATAATGATAACAAATCGTGTATTGTTTTCCACCTAATGAGACGTGAAATGTTTTGTCTAGCACTTGTCGAATGTATGACATATATTCACTTTAAGCCTAGCAAGATTACTTCTGTGAGTTAGATTTAGAGATCATGGTTGCAATCATGACTTGGTTACATCAATATTTACAATCAACAGTCAAAAGTTAAAAAAAAAATTATATATTTTTTTTTAATCTGAAAGGTTTCAGATTTCAAATTACGTCCAAAGGTATGTTTTTTTTAACATTTTGTCTGTTACCTTTATTTATTAGATATCATGTTCTTCGCACCTAAACCATAAAATTCAGTTCAAGAGCAATATTTCAAAATTCTTTGAAATTGAACATATCTTTATAATTTCCGATACAGAGTCTCGCGCGCTGGAGATAAAACTGTTTCTTTTGTTCAAAGTTGCTATTGCTCGCTTTGAAATCCTTGAATTTGTTTATCAAAAATTCGTTAAAGTTTTACAAAATATGAAATCGATAATAAATCAATCAAATCAAATTTCAAATTTGGGCTTCCACATGCCCATATTCGCAGTAGGATTACGTCATTCAAAATTCGACGGCTCTAGTACCATTGTTTTATTACAATGCGAGAAATATATGTACATTTATACAGATTTTTCAATATTTAATTTCTTCAAATATAATGCAGGACTCTAACATTTGGTGGCAACAGTTTGAAAAGTGAAACGGACATTTATAGTTAACCAACGCAAAATCACAAAACGAAAACAATAGTCCTTCTGGGATAAAGCCCCTTTGGATTAAAAAGAAGAATATATATAAATAAGTTTGAAAAAAAGAAAAAATTAGCTTCATCTGCATACTTATGCGTATTATGTCTTTTTAGATATTTCTGCATATATATGCTGATACTACGTTTCAGCTTATTTTTGTCAGTTCATTATATGCAATTTCTTGGGTTTTTTTTTTTTTTTCAATAATTAGTTTACTATAATTACATTTCACAATACATTACATTGTTAATACTTTACCAACTCAATTTTGACAATTTATTATATGTTGTTCGCTTTTGAGATTATGTATGTTATCTTATGTTACGTAGAATTGTAGAAGCCATCTATAATTTACCGTAAGTAAATAGGTAGTAGCTTCTTACACTACTTTTGAGTAAGTTCTGCTTCATATGGTTCTTCTGTCTATGTTCTGCTTCATATGGTTCGCGGTGTTGTTTCTTTCCTGTGAAAGTGCGCCCGCTTAATATTGTATCTGCATGTAATTGCTCTGTTTCACTGTATGAAATCTTTTGTATAAATACTAGAGGTTTTCTTTTGTCAGGTATTCACAGTCAAACAAATTTTAACTGGTTTCGAACAGAATACAACTACATAAATATCATTAATTTTAATATTAAAACTATTGACCCTTTATAGTGACAGATATTAGATAATGTAGAATCAAGGAAACATACACACACATTAATTATAATGTTAAATTATAATGTCAGACCTATTATAAACAGATTTTAAATGAGTATGGTAACGTCAATCACTTCACTGAAATGTTCGCTTTTGAATGGAATAAAGAAATTACAACACCTGATGATCGCATTAACAATGAAGGTCATCGTAGTAGAATGACTCGTGCAAAAAATTAATTTGATTTATATTGCTTTGGTTATGAAAAGGCTACTTTAATTAAGAAATGAACTTTCTGAGATAAATATGTAAAACTGTTCTGAAACTAGTATGGCGTATTAAATAATAAAAAGATTTATTACAAGTGTTCAAAGCTAAGCATTTACACAATGGCAGCTTTTTGTTGAAATACTATGAGTATTTCACCTAAGAGACTAAAATCTGTAATCAAAGTCTTTATTTAAATTTCAAAGTTGTCCGAAAAGACTATCTATATTATATACTCTTACAAACCTTCTTTTACAGACACATTTCAGATTAATATTCAGTTAAAAAACACCGACAAATTTGTTAGGTTTATACTAAATAGTTTGCACCATTAACGAGTTAAACATTTAAAACACGCATATCATATATAATATTAAATAGAATGCTCATCTTCTAAAATCTTTAAAATAGGATTTGAAAACAATTTTATTATGCTTTAGAATCATCGAGGAAATATTTATGTGTAATTGAGGTTTTCTCAGAGTATTAAATAAAAGCAGGAGCTAAAATCCTGATCTCCTGTGAAAGATAGTTTACAGATATATCTCTCTATACTCCTTTATGTCTCTATACGTATCTGTATGCTCTTTGGCATCATCTGATGTTCATAACTCAAGTCATGTCTCCGGATTACTTCCTGCATAATTCGAAAAATGCTCAAATAACATTTTTCAATAAATTATCAGCAAGTTTCAGGAAACTCATGATATACAACACTAGTTAAATAAAGAATACAGTCAGTATTAATTTGGTTGGGATCCACATGATATTTTAGGTCTTGCTTCTCACGATCGCCATTCACTTGATTGTTGAATTCTTCCTATTAATTATTAAAAACATAGATTCTCAATACCAATGGTAATGCGTCTTAAGATAAACTCGCCTTACGAAAGTATCGCCTGGACCAAGTTACTGTTTTTGGTAAAAAGAAATCAGCATTTGGGGGCATTTAAAGAAGACACGCACAACAAACCCAAATGATCTATCAAATTTGCTTGACAGAATCCAAACGATGTAGGAACTTGTTAATAATATCCATAACTTTTAAATGACAGTCGCTAAAGTGAAATTAGAGGTTTTCAAAATTAAACTATTAGCAGTTTTTCCTTACTATTTTCAAATGTAATATTAAATCACATTGTTTTTCAAAATTTTCTCTTTTTTTTATTCTTTGAAAAATTTATGCTTTAAATTAAATTAAATGTTTTATATGAATTTGTACAATTTTTCATTACGAAGCATTAGTTTTTATTGTGG